TATATATATTCGATGATGTGTATTCGAAATAGGTTGTAAATTATTATAAAACATAAAATGAAGTTTAGGTTAGACGATTTGTAACATCACTATATTTAATTCTTGATAGGTCATATGTACGGAACAAATGTAGATGATAATCATCACTAATTTCTTTTTCAGAGTTTCAACTCTCGAGCAGCGCTGAACGGGCACATACGGATTCACGGCGGCACCGCACGTAATTCTCCCACGCCTTCATCGACGACATCGGAAAGGAGAGTGGTGACGGTACTGCCGACGAACCCGAGCGTATGTCACCCCGATTCGACGGACGAGTACCCCTGTAAGATATGCGGGAAGTAAGTGTACACGATTCGTCCTAAAAAGGTAAATGATCGGTGTGTTGCGTCCTCTGCTTACGTGCTAATACTATTCGTTACTATCGAAATACACAAACATCCAGTGTGCGGAACAAGGTATTCTTTTCTGTTCTGGTGGTTTTACGGGTGGTAATCAGCGTTTAGGGTGAAAAATTGGTTGATAATATTTCAGGTTGAATTGAAAAAAAAATGTTTTCAAACCGAGTAATATCATTTGGATGGAAGACAATGAACAATCATGATGAATCAGTTACAAATAATGGTTCCTGAAAATCAAGTCACTCCGATTTGGGGTGTGTTCTTAAGATCGTGATAAATTCGTTTGAAAAGTGTTTCGAGCAATGTTATTTACTTTATTGGTTTATTCATATTCTCCCAATGAAAATTTCCTCAGTGGATAAAATATCAATTCTACAAAAAAAATTATTCAGAAATGAATGAAAGAATATTTTATGCCTAACAGTTCAACATTAGACATGTACAAAATATCTATACAAAACTTCAAGTTACACATTAACTTGCCAACAAAAATTGTCCCCTTCGAAGGCCTTTGTGGAATATTTATTTTTTTCACAATTTCCTTCTTATCTACAAGCAATGTATCCTTCATACCTTTGGAAATGAAGGCGGCGTCAATTTTTTGGCTGGGCCTACGAAACGAACACAAAAATGATTTTCCGCCTTTTTCCATGATTTTGACCACATATCTTTTGGTATCTAGTATCTATAGAGTAGGGAGGGTGAGTGTAGACTCACAGCACTTAGGCCACATGTGACCCATTGTACACCCACCCTAGGTCATCGTACATCCTGTCCTTTCCAGGTAGGTGATCAGGTCACTAAGGGACATCTCCTTTATATTGGCAGGTGTAGGCCAAGACTCACCGAACACACACTCTCTTTGGCAACCATGAGGTGGAAAGTGCAGCGATATTACTGTCGTTGCGTGGCTTCCTCAACCTTCTTGGGGTTCCCTCCGTGTAGGTGCACAAGTGAGGGAGCTTACCTGCAGGGGCGGCCGGTTCCTTGCCTTTGATCAAGGCGGAGCTGTTGGCGCCCGCCGCAGGAAGTGCCCTTTGTTGTTGGAGGTGATATGCTTGCCTCATTCCAAGTGGTAGATTGGGGTGGACATTTCTGTTCATCCCCAGCCACCACCTTAGATTGAGGTGAGCACTTCTGTTCATCCTCGGGATTGGTTTTTGTTTTTGTTGTTTCTGTTGTTTCATTCATGTGTGTTCCCACAAGTAGCAAGGGAAGAGTTTTGTCACCTCTGGTAGAGCCCCGCATTACCAGAGGTAGGCTGATTACAATGAGGTTTCACCCGCAGTTCCCCAAGAGGATCGTTCGTGACCGCATATCACCCTGCGGCCATTCAGCTGTCGGCACGATTTCTTACACCGTAGCATGGATAGACTGGGCCACGGTGGCATGTTTTGCAAAGGCTTTTGGGGGGGTTTTAGTTCTCCTCACCCTACTTATTTCTGCCACTGACCAGGAGTCCGGCAACCCCGTCCGTAAGGCCACATTGGCTTCCCGGACAAGGCCTCCACTCCCCTGGCCGTTCTCCTATACGCCACCTGGGGACGCCCGATAGGTAGCTTAACCCACGAGCACATAAAACAAATAAAAAAAATAAAACACATATGTTTTATTCGTACCTTTGGTTGTCTTCTGTGCGACTAATATAAATTTGTTAACTCGAAGTTCAGATCATCTCTTCCAGTCTTATTGATTTCTTCTTCGTGGCTGTTTTCAGTCTCTGTTTCACATTTTTTCGCCTATACTATTTCTTCTTCAGCGCAGTCTCGTTGTCCATTTGGTCTGTTTCTATTCACGGAATCAGTGTCGTCTAATTCTTCTTCTAATTCAACATCGAGTGTAATAATAACTCCATCATTACTTTTATCAGTGCTGCCATTACCACTATTGTTTCGAGTGTTTTTTCGCCTTTTGTTTATATGTACTTACTATCTTTTTCAGATTGCTTGGTATTATTTACCGTTTTTCTAGTAATCAAGTCATCTATAGAAACACTTTTACCAGCTTCTAGATTCAACTTTATCATTTGTTGATTCACAGCAGATAACATAACCCTGCCAAATAGTTTAGAAGTGAACTACCTTGTATAACCAAATCAAAGCTACTAGATCTATTTCCGCATTCACCATTCAGCATTCATTCTGCTGCCTTTGGAATTCTCAATAGATAAGCATATTGATTTTTCCGTTGATTAATAGGCCAACTTTTTCATGAAGAGTAATAACAAGCACCGAACTCAAAAATATATAATGCGCTCTAAGGCTAGTGATTGTGCGAAAGAAACGACTCTTATCGAATTCAAATCGCTGTAGATTATAACCATTTGGGAAAATAGACTAGGGAACAGGTGTGCTGTCGACAACAAATCAAGATATTTGATTTCAGCTTTTTTCCAAAATGTTGTGAATCATTGGGAACAGCAACGTTTTTGGTGAAGATATCCATGAGAGAACCATCGAAAGCTAATTGAAAGGATCAGTCATCTCAAAGAATCTGCTACACAATGGAATGCAAATTGTTCATTGTGAAACTGCATTTTTGTTTTTGTTGTTGTTGCTGTTGAACAATTCATGTGGTGGAATCGTGGACTTAGTAAAATTTTAGCCATTAAGGACCATTAAGACTGGCAATGAGCTTATTAATGATCATCTGATTATTCAGCTCATTACTTTGATTATTTCCTAACTTGTATTCATGTTCATGATAAATCAAAAATAAACATGTGAGTATAAGTAACTCTTCATAAAATTTCACTTTTATCACATTCTGGAAACTAAAGGCTTCTCTTAATGTCATGTCCTCTGAATCTTCCATCCAGCTGCGATATGTGGACATTTAATAGTAGAGATAATATTCAAATACAAAATTCGATATGTATTTTCTAAACTAATTGAAACATTATGATTATTCGGACCGCTTGAGTTTAAAGTTCTGTTGGGAAAACTAATTTTCAACAAAATTTCTTAGTGATATTTTTTTTTCTATATCAATACATTCAGTTTTGAATATTTCCATCCAATGGTTTTGAAAATTTTATTATATTTTTGTTGTATCATTCAAATGTGAAATTCACAATTCAATTACCAAAAGAACCAAAATTTTTTTCAATTCAGCTTGATTCGACAGGACATATAGGGTAACCTTACAGATTATATAATTATATTGCAATTTGCTGATTACCATCTGTACCTCCATCATTTAATGTATCTCCCAAGCAACTTACCGGGAGATACCTATTTTTTTATTTCACTACAGTTTTTCAGTACGTCTTATTTCTCTCAAGCATGCATCTCTTGTTTGAACTTGTGACTTACTGGAGACACTTGTATTGATGTTCAGTAGAAAATATTTCATAAGAAAATATCAAAGTGAGAATTACACTACATAAAAATGTTTACTCTGATGAATTTGACAAGTTTGTTCTCTGACAACTGTTTAGCTTCGACTGTGTATCGATAGCATAATTTCATTAAATCGTCTTTGAATATGATGGTGCATACAGCATACAGACTCCTATGTTATCTATGGAATTGATAGAAAGATAAGCACCGTTCATCAAAAATAAACGGTAAAAATCGTAACAGACACTGAATTCCTCGTTTATCTTTTTTACTCAGAATGGTTTCTGTTCAAAAGCATTCATTACCAAATCTAGTACCACTGAGGATATTTGTGGCAGATCGAAACTGATTGACCGCCATAAATTATGAACATTGTTTCCTACTTCGCGTGATTTTTTTATTCATGAAAGTTTTCATGAATAACCAACATAATTCCGAAAATCAGGAGTTCTTCATATCATCTGTTTACGGTAGGGGGAGTTGAAATACCCCTGAATGGTTTTTTGATGGCTCTAGCTTATTTTTGAAAGGACTGAAACACCCGATACAGAATGCCATCAGTTTTTTTAACGTTCCACAATTTCGTTGTTAATATTTTCCATGAACCGGGTTATTGAATTTTTAAAAAAGATATTTTAATTTTATCAACTGCAGTAGTTCCACAAAATGATGAATTTTCTACATTTTTCATATATCTGGCTTCTTGGCAGAGTATCCGCAACAAAAAGTGAAATGGAAAAAAATCGAAAAAAAAAAATGGGAATCTTCCGAAAGAAGAAAAAAACAAAGTACGAAGGAAACTTCACAAAGATGTGCAGATCGTGTGTATTCTCTTTCAGATACAGATGGCTAGAATAAAAAACCCTTTGAAAACAATTTATTCGCATGAACATTGAATTGAATCATATATAGGAACGCCATACAGCATAATGCAGAGTGCAGCATCGAAAACGAAACAAATCGAATATCTTCAAAAGACATTTGTTAAGAAATAAATATAAAAACAGGACGATTTTTAATTCATGGGGCCAGGGCCGTAGCGAAAAGAAAAACCAGGGGGGGAGGGAATCCAAATTTTCCCAACCCCACCAGCAAAATTTACCAACTTTCGAAAAAATGAAAGCCAAGAGATTAGTTACTACTATAATATATTAATTTTCTTACTTAGCTATCCAAAGATTCGCTGAATGCTAATGCCCGATAGGGTATGCATAAATTTTGGTAATTATAAAAATAATGGGAATTATTCTACTTTGGACCATATCCACCATGTATGGGAATATTCAATACGAATGAAAGGAAACAACACTTAAATAATATTGTGCTTATTGTTTTCTACTATTATTTTTTCTACATTCACGGCCCGAAATTTCCCAACTTTTCCAAGTCGAAAAAACAGTGAAAAGTTGGGAATTTTGTAAAATTGTCACTTCAAAATTTGTGGACTGTTCAGGACTGTTCTCTTACTTGGGAGAAATTAAACTTTTTTGAAGTTTTCAAACAACTCAGAATTTCAAAGTATGGGATCTCCAAGTTATGCATGTTGGTAAATCCCAACCTTCTACTGGTTCTTTCCCTTTTCTTATTACCTCTCCCTTTCTTTTCTCTCATTTTTATTTTTTTAATTTTTATTCATTTTTTTACTATTATTTTTTTCCAAAAATTTCCCAACTTTTTCCCAAGTCGCAAAAGCAGGGGGGAGGCTCCCTGCCATCCCCCCCATGGCGACGGCCCTGCATGGGGCACATTTTTCTATCGTAACCTCAACTGTCATACCACCAACCCGGTCCCCTGGTGACCATTATTCACTACGTAACTTTTCATTTTAGCGTCCTCTTTCGGAAAAAAAGAACTGTTCTGTATTTCAAATTATGACACTTCATTTGAAAGTCAAGAAAAGACAACAAAAATTTAAAAAATCACATTGTATACACTCAAAAAATAGAAAACCGTGCATAATTTCAAACTACATTATTTCAGATCTGTTGCCCGAACTGTTTTCCATTAACTGCCGTACACGAGTGTAAGTTAGTTAGTCTCGAAACTTCCGAAATTTTTGAACATTTCTGGATTTACCTGATAATAGTGTTTTTCCGCTGGACAGTGCCAAAATGGAAAGTTACCTACGTAGTGAACAATCACATAGATGAATTCCTCATGAAATTATCTTTTCAATGATGTGTCACGCGATGGAGGAAGTACGACAGTTGAGTTTATGATAGAATGATGTCTCTTATATCAGCAAATGTGTCTTAAAGATATTTGATCTGTTTCGTTTTCGGAGCCGCACGCTGTATTTTTTATAAATTATCACTTACATGAAACTCTAATGTAGTAATTTTCTTTCTTGTTTTTTTGGAAGTTTCCCATATTTTTTGTTTGATGGTGCATGAGTAGAAAGCCAAAGTTTTTTCCGAAGGAAAAATTTCTCCAAAAAACATTCAAATCAAAATAAAAACTAAAGTATTGTGCGGAAATTGGAAAGCGCAGATACCGCAGCAGAGACAAAAATGCATCACTTTAGCATTGCCCTTCTTCTAAATGAGGTATTACGTGCCCACTTTCATTGAAAAATTCTTCAATGACTAGTTCAATATCATGTGCTTGTCAATTATAATGTTCACTCGATGTATTTTTTTTTATTTAGACGCCTTGGCTAATTCGGAATCTCATTGCAATACTTATTCAACTGGCATATCCTGACATCATCCAAATTTTGCCACCGGACACTATTTTCATATTCGCATCATATTTCTTATGGTACTGCGGAGACATCTTAACTGTAGTGTCTGTGTGAAAAAAATTATTTCGAGGAATCAAGTGTCAATCGAACAGAAAAGTTAAAAGTGCCCGATTTTCTTTGTACGAGACTAACGATTGTGATCTTTGCCTCCAATAAGCTGGATGGCCCTCAGGACAAGCTCAAGGGCAGAGCTCCACATATGCGAGTAATACTGCGAAACTTTAGCTTTATAAAGCTTTCAGTATTCCGGTCCTATGTTGTTGAGCTAATCCAAGCAACGTAATTGTGCCATATTGTGGATATTTTCTATCCAGTTTAACAAGCAACAAATTCTGTCACATTCACCTCCAGAGAAAAACTGATACCCAAATCTGCTTAGTATTAAATTTCACTTGGGTACTCTGCCCTAGGCTGACCGATTTCTTCCAAATCTTCATCAATTTATGAAACTGAGGGCATCTGAATGGATGTGCTGTCGTTGGTAGATTTTTGGTGTTCTAATATATCGTTGATGAACAATGGAAAAAAGATAAAGGATTATATAGGTCCCTAAAGAACCCTAGAATTAATGTAGGGATATCAGAAAAAGAGAAAATTTTATGACTACTTGTATAAAGCTATACATGAGAGAACTGTATTTTCCAATATGTCGTTAGTGGGAAAATATGAATCTCTGGGAAATACCGTCGTTGAAAATGAGGGTATCCAAAAGAGAATAGTGAGTGTGTACCTTATCGAAGAATGAACTTTGAGAAAGCCGCGAAGCTTTGATTAAACATTCTAGCAAGCCTTAACACTCAGAGAAAAAATCAAAAGTACAATCGGTCAGAAAAAGTAAATAAATTCACAGAACTAAAGACTCAAATGAGAATAATTTCTCACAAACGTCAGTTGATGTCAAGCTATAACATTTTTATCAACCTCATTCATTTTTACATTCCTAAAAAACAATATTGCTCCATAGCAACTCATGTCAAATTCATCTTACACGAACAATTTTTTTTCTACTGATCACAGAATAGTGTCAGTTTCAAACATAAAAATGCACGTGAGCATGTCACAACATTGTCACTGCCGATCACAATGCCGAAATAAAAAGAAAATGAGCAACATAAATTTTGGTATTCGCGGCAATCACACTGCCTCACACCAAAATATGTTTTCGTACTGACAAAACTCTTATTTCATTTTCAAGCTGCTTCTTATTTTACTTTTCAGTTTCCAACTTTCCTAATGTACTTTCTGCGAATTACAGGGTGGTTCAATATTCCAAAGACCTAACTTTTTATTTATGCAATAAAACATATGACAGCAATATTATTTACGATGAAGGAAACTTCATCTTGAAAAATGAGACAATCTTTTATTATTCTTGATAACGTACTGAAGAAAAAAATCTAATTTAGTCAAGTCACGATATCATAGTGGCTATTAAACTAATCTTATTAATCTTTCAACCTAGGAATCAGTCACAACTGAAATATATCAATGTTAAAAGATATCTTTTTACTCGAATGGCAGAATCATATATGGATAATTTTGATCGTTTGTTCTTTTTTTTTTGTAAATTACACAAAAAGACTAAACGCAATCTATATAAAACTTTTACTTTTGACAACTCTTGGTTCCACATTTTTTAGAGAAGGCCCAGATTAAGTATGTTTCTCTACAAAATCCAAATTAGACTTGAAGTTTGGTCACATTTGATCCAAAGTTTAACGTTTTTGACCCTGTTAAGGTAACTTCATGAAATATTTTTGAGTCTAAAAATATAACACAGTGTCTTTAACGACTGCATTAAGTTTAAAATTAATTTAGTGTAACTTTACTCAAATAAACTCAATCACCTTGTTGGACGAACCCGTTGAACCACCCTGCTAACCTTATTTTACTGAATGTATTTCTTATTGGCAGAGTGTTCACAAAAATCAAAAGCCGTAGTGCTCACATGAAATCACATCGACCCCCCGACGCCGAACCTGTGAAAAGAAAAGAAAAAGATCCCCCCTCATCCACCAGCTATGAACTTTCCGTGCCAAGCCCGTTTAGTACTTAGTCGTAGATCGAATTTTTATCATTCTCAAATATTTAAAATCAACAAATAAATCAAAAGCAGGTAAAGGGCAATCAAAAATTAATAACAGTACGAGTCAGATCAAAACGAAACATCTCACATTTTTTGAACAAAAGACATGTTTGTTACTCAAAAGTTAGAGAGCGTAGGTAAAAAATTATAGGTAGAGTAGTAGTGTACAAATTACAAACCACATATTACAGAGATTTATATTTAATATTAAATAGGGGTTGTGTTGCGTTACGTTAACGTAACGTTAGTGCCTTTCGAATGTCGAGTGAGACACTATTCAAAAATGCATCATTGTAATCATCAACATCACCATTAGAGATCTGGAATAAAGAAGTTTGTGCTCAGAAAAAAGAAGGAATATGCCCAAAATCTTAGTTACCTCGGAAAAAACATATGAGTATCCACTTGATAAGGTATAGGTGATAGATGTTTTCTAACCTAAAATTAACCCAATAGTCTTTATGAAATGCCAAGAATTCTGAATGAACCTACCGTAGCCTTTTCTCGATTATTTGTTTCTATCTTTATCTGGAAATAATAATGTCAAAGTGAAGAGAACGTTAAAAACGTGTCAGTTTTCTTGCCTCCCGTTTCTTACCAAAAATCTACTCTTAGATAACCAGGTTTTTTTGTTGGTTTGGTTACATGTATCTGTTCATTACGAACCATTATTCTCAAAAACCTGTGTTTTATATCAGTATGTAACTTCTTTCTAGAGTATGAATTTTTCTCAGTAATCTGTAGCTTTCCATCTACTGTTTTCCTATCTTTTATCTCTTCCGCGGTTTTACACCCTAGGTCATTTTGTGGTATCAATCTTTTTCCATTACCATTGTTTTCATATTTACTTGTTTCGAAGCTTTGCTACATATTTCTATGCCTATAGGTTTCCATTTCAAATTTCCTCAGCCTCACTCGCATTGGCTTACCACAATTCTGTCGTTGCTATCATTTTCATTTTCTAATATTCTTTTCGCTCGTATTTATTCTAATTCTTCATTACTTCTTCAGGAGTATGGTAAACATTAAGCTGTTGAAAGTGCATCCCTATTTTACTCTTAAGGTTTTCGTATTGGATATTTCCAAATGTGTTTTCACATACTTATATATAATTTCAATTTTGACAATGGTCTATTCGAAATTGAATCCAATACTAAATAGCAAATTTCCAATCTCGTTACTTTGAATAATCGACGAGGATGATACCTACAATAGGTTTATTCAATTGAAGTTATGTTGACTCAATTCACTTTTGATGGGCAACAATTGAGAAATTGAGGAACTGGATTTATGGTGTATTCTTGAAATATCATTTTCCGAACTGTTTGAGCAATAGATCTGAACTCAAAGTGTTAATCAAATATCAAAAACGGCCATAAATAATTTATTGTAATGAACTATACGTATTATATAACTAAAGCAAAACTATGAACTTGTCTGAATTTAACTTGCAAAAAAATACACTTAGTGGATTTGCTCAAAAAAGTGAGTATTTTAACTTTTCTTTGTATTATTAACAACTTAGACATTAGATGAATTGGTAAATATATAAGATATTATTTTAAATAAACTGCTACTAATACTATTCATATATTAACTTAATCTTAAATAGGAAATGGTTATATTTGGCCCTTAGAATATTCTTATAAAAATTAGGAGAAATTGTATGACTATGAATGTATGATCAAACATGTGCCATAAAGGAAAATTTGAGACAAGTCCACTGTTTTGTGATTTTTTTAACTCAAAAGTACCGCACGTGCTCAAAGCACGGAGGTACTCTTAACTCTGTGTTGTGATCTTTTTGAAAGTCTATTACTATGAATCTATCTATATTAATACTTGATATAATAAAATGAATATTTGTACATGTTACTATATGTATGATATTAGAATTAAATTTTAGAGGTCTGCGCACAGCTGGGAGTTGATCGAGATTTCCATTAAGAAAATGACAATCCACTTTAATTTATTTATGTATTTATGTATCGGTGTTTTTATTATGTGTCTGAAAGACATTAAACTTAGGTTAAGTGCTTATCTTCTAGAAATATCACTGTTAAATGTTTTGAACATGCTGTATGTTTTCTTGAGCTCACTGAAGTGTTAGATGTAGGTTAAGTACACTAAGATCGCTCCAGCTCGTGGCAGACCACCAGACTGGGCCAGATTTTTGGTAGTCTAGGTATCAGGTGCTCAGATCTATCAATTAATTGTTGTTATTCAATGTACCTCTTGAGAACTGACGGTTGTTTTTTAAATGTTAGCTGGGATATATGTGCTTTCTATAAACTGTTAAACTCGTATTCGACAAAGCTGACATCTTTGTAAAAATTTTAAACTCATATATTAACATTACATTATGGGTAAGGCACTTTAAGAAACAGCAGAGTCGTATAATCATGCATATAAAAACTAAGTGGTTGCTCTGTCGCTGATGGACTCCAAAACACACAATTTTATTATTAATATGTTTCTTTCCATTCACAGTCGGCTAATGAAAACACTGAGTGACATAAAGTTCAAAAACGATGTTTTTGTTCAAAATAACATATAAGGTAATATAATGTGAATATCAGTTACAACAGAAAGTAGAGATATTATCTTGTAAGACCATTTGACAGTCATCTGAACATAATGAATATAACGATATCTAGTCAAAGAAAATTGAGGACCCACATAGAATTGAAGACATATACCGTATAGAAGCAAAACAAAGCAGATCATTTGCTGAATTATAAACATACATGATAGAAATTAAAAGTTGTAAATTGCTACTATTTCATAACATATTTCCATATTACATCAATGCAATATCAAAAATTACAACTTCATAAAGCAGAATATTACTGGAGTTTTATCCCAACACCAAACCGATATTTTTAACACCTTGACACGTGTTTTGATCACCAAGTGATCATCTTAAAGAGAAAGATTAAATCTTCTTCTTGAAGATGATGAATCGTATCGAAGTGTTAAAATTAACGGTTAGGTGTTGGGATAAAACTCCAGTAATATTAATTACTACAACAAAAGTTCCAAACAGTCCAAACAAGTTCATAAAGCTGGTCACCATAGAAAAACCTTTAAGGAAACAGCAAATATTGTTCTTCATTCCGCCAGAAAATGTATCAAATATTTTTATCGACCTTTTATACTTTATACAGGTTAGAAAGGGCAAACTTTTCAATTCACCCCGGTAAGTTACTGCATAAATTCGAAGAAATTTTAACAAATAAAAAGGTTTTATTTATAAGTAACTTGTGGTATTGAAATTGGAAAAAATTGGAATTGGAAAAAAATTATAATTGGAAAAAATTGGAATTGGAAAAAAATTGCAATTGGAAAAGAATTGCAGTCATTTAATTCTTTGGTTAGATTTATTTTCAAATCGTACTCGATGAATGTCAGAGAGAAAAACTGCAAGATACATTAAATCATTCACATGAAATATTGCAAAATGAATATAGAATATGTGTAAAACAAAAATGCCAATTTATCAGATCGCAACATCCTGTATACAATCTACATTCCCTACCATCTATTACTAACTTGTAAAAGCAGTAGTGACTTGGTCTTCAGCTGACAACTATTTCGAGTGGAAACATGAGTACAATAACAGTGCTTTTTTAACATATATTCTGGTTTGCTTCATATTTATTTGAACTCAATTTTTAATATCCATAAAATGTTTCTTTATGTAATCTGAATGCTCCAGCTTATAACTATCCGTAACTAAGATAGGTTTGCAATATTTCAGTCCAATCATATATTTCTCGATTATTTTGTAATGAATTGGCATCGAGTTTACAAATCAATTTTGACAGTTCAATTAGTTCATCACTACTCCCAAGGCAATTCTGCAAATTGATTTGCCACATAATTTCTTCCTTACCGATTCTTATCTTACCTTACCAGGCCTGAATAATCGATTGACCGTCTTATTTCTGGTAATCATAACACGTTTTCTTTCATCGCCAATTATGCAGATAGTGGCAGCATTCTGAGAACATAAAATTCATGTAAGGGAACCCTCAATAAACACCATATTTATTCTAGTTAACAACTTGGAAATTTCGAATACACCATTACGATGTCTACAGACTACCAAAATGACTTGAACGGGTAGAAAGTTATATCATATTTCCAAAGGCGGATTAAACGTGAAGAGCGCACTTCAGTACCCAAATTTCACGAACTTCGGACTATCGCGTGTTTCCTTTCGTGGCCTCGATCCCCTAGGCACATGCCTAGTTTGCCTTGTAGATAATACGCCTCTGCATATTTCAGAATAAAGTGGAATTGTTAGAGAAATGCTTGGTTTTCAAAAATTTTCAGAGGATAATTTTTAAATTAAAAATGTGTAAGTTTGCGTTTGTGTATATTTGTATTCAAGCAAATGTTAAATTCAATTTCATTTTATTGAGTGACATACGGTATTAGTTAAAATATGTTCTTCAGTTGGTCTTCAACTTAGTTCATCACCACACTTCAGAAAAAATATCCAAAAATTCTGTTTTTGATGTATATAGCTCTCAGGTTTTGAAGTTGCACTAACATTACATTTGCTTAGAAGAATTTCTCAATAATTGAATGTCTTGTCATCGACAGCCATTGAAATTTTCGACATTTTCCATATTTGATAGTGATTAAACTTTCGTCTTCAAATTGTTAAAGTGTCAGTTCTTGTTTCATTGTTTCTCCATATTAAAACGGCCTAACGAAACCCTTCTGTCAACTGGATATTAAATGTTAAGTGTTAAAAAAGCGATCGTCAGTTCGACTAGTTTACTTTCTGTTATCAATATGTAACCTGACACTTATTATTTTCAGAAACGATACTCAAAAAAGTCTATTATTCATGTATGTATATCATTGGATGTTTCCTCATTTCACTGTACTGTAACTGCCAAATGTACTGTTATGGGTGTATAATAATCAGAGTGTGTTGATAACGGCTGTAGCACAACTTCTACTGCACTATAAATATATATTTTCTATCCTTTCAATATATGAAAACTATAAATGAATCAGTTGAGTGTTGAATATTGTGAGTTGTAGAATTTGAAAATTTTGAAATGCAACTCATTGAAGTCTCGTAAGCCAAGCGAAATAAATAAAATATATAAATTTGAAGGGATATATTTTCAAGAGAGGTCAATTTCTGGGAAAAAAGATTTTGGCTTTCTACTTCTTTGGAAGATTCCCACAATTTTTTAAAGATGAAGAAATAGAAAGCCAAAACCTTTCTTTCCCAAAATACATATGTTGTATTGATTTTTCAGTTGGTCATAATTTTTTTCAAGACTGTACTCACTTTCTTTGAACAGCAGCCCAGTGAATCAACTGAATTTTCTATTGGATTCAATTACTATCTCTTGATTGGATTCATTTTTGGGAGAATTCAAATCAATCCACCAAATCAAGGTTCAGAGATCTCTCTTCGCCATTAACCACTCAGGCCACTTTAGTTTCTCAAAGCTACGTAATAACCAAAATGATCAATTATAAGAAAATATAACTGATTATAGATTAGTAAATGATAATACCTTGTAACAAGCAGCACAAAAATATTTATGAATTATTTCTCAAACAAAATTTTATCAGACAGGAAAATGAAATTGGCATAAAGTCTGGCCATTCACATTTAACACGTATCGGGCCAACTAATAGAAACATCTACGATGGATAGATAAAACCGGAAATTTGGACTCCGAATGATGTAGTATGTACTAGACGAGCAAATAGAAGGGTTGCAAACGTAATATTGGGTACAAAAATTTACATACATCCAACAAACAATAGTCTATCATCTTTCTCAAATATTATCATATGTTAATGTGCCTCAAATGAGATTTTTTTATAATCTAATTTTTTTTAGAAATTATCTTTCGTTAGAGCAAACGCACTCCTTGCATTTGGATATCCACTTCTGAATATTAAGTTTCTGCAAATCAGTACCACCTCTATGCCGTTTCTGACCATAGATCTCAGTAAAATGTAATAGAGAAAAGGCACATATTTTTTTCTTTCCAAAATAACTGATGCGATCCTTAAATACTTTAAACATTGAGAGAAATTCCTCTGAACTCTTTTTTTTATTCGAAATATTCAAATTTGAAAATAGTCTTCAATGTGAACTCGATTTGACCTTGAATTTGAATAACTTCCCCAAAACAGTGGTTATCCTATGAACATAAAAAAATACGACTGCAACCGTAATTATCAATAATGATATAGTTCATTCCGGTGATGTTGAAATAACAATATTAATGAAAAAATTATTTCAAATTTCTACTTCCTGGTCAAAAATAATGATAAAAACAATCCCACGAAAGCACAGAATACTTCAATTTTGACAAATGAAATGCCCTCTTTGTGACAAACTAGAACTGAGAAAAGTAAAGAAGAATTTGTCCACTAGATACTGTCAGTAGTAAGTTTTTCAGCGGATCTAAAAATACAGCATTTTCAATTATATAGCATGAAAAAGTTAAAGTTTTATTTGTAATTCCAAGAAGTTTTCTCAGTTTTATTGGGGGTGATGTACTTGTTGAAATCAAAGTATTTCAAAACAGACAAATGAGTGTCCCTTATTTTTTTAAATAGATTTAAGATGTTGTAACTCCAAAATAGAAGCCTTCGTGGCTTCATTTCAACTTATAAATGCCCGTTTAGACTCTCTTGAAATAAGGTTCAATCAAGCACAGAAAATGTATGGATATGTAATATTAAATCTAATATATTATTCTTTTTTACCTGTTTTTGACAGGATACATATTCACATATGAATTTTTAATAAAATTTTACAATTCGGATTCGTACTTGTACATTTTTATATCCTCCTAATGTCAGTGAATCCTCGAATAAACATCACATGTATGATCAGGAAGCCAATTTTCTTTGCTCAATAATCCAATCGTGATATAATATTTCATCTTTCAATATAACGTTTTGAAAATTTTCGATATATTTCACATAAATTTTACCAACTTCCTTTATTTTTGGCCCAGTCCCTTCAAGAATGCATTTGAATTTATCTGAAAGGTTACAGACACGAATCGGGATTTTAGAAAATGATTGCAATCAACAGTTTTCATTTTCAGTCATGAACCAATGGACTTATCTTACCTTGTGCCAAGAAGAAAGTGTCACGTAACATATTTTAGTTTTAAAGCTTGTATATTTGTAAATAGGCTAAATACTGAAACCTATATTGTACTAAAACACTTGGCAGTTATTATATTTTCATAATAAATGCCAAATAACATTTTTATAAATGTTTGAAGTTTCATGGTTAGATTTTTGCCAAAAATTATTTAACCCCTACATCGCCATTGCGTTGATTTAGTAGTGGGGACGTGTAGTTTGCAATAAGCTAAAGTATGTGTATATGGAAAGTATACTCGAAAATGACCTCCCACTTCCTTTTTCAAATTGGGGTTCATCATTATTATAGCTTCAGATTAATGATTTCATTAAAACAATTGATAACAGTATTAAAATATTTTTCGTGAACATATACAGCTGAACCTATTATGGAACTAAACATTTTATGATGACTCAGTTTGATTGTTTATTATAATGCAGAATTTTCAAGAACTGGTAAAAAACATAGAAATTTTCATTTCTCTTTTCATTAATTTTTTGTCATTTATACCAAATTTGTATATTCGCTACTGTGTTTCAGGATGTATGCAAAAAACTGCCTTGGCCTCAACCTATTTTCGAAAATGTTATTAAAATTATATCTCAATTATCAGAGTCCATAACAATTTCATAAATTTTAAAGAAACAAATGAAAGTAGGTATTGAATATTAGTAACTAAAACTAAATCGTTTTCTGAAGTTATGCATGATGATCCAATAAAGTGCTTGGTACATGCGATACAGATTTCCTTTCCACAAGCCATTTTATCAATTGATTATCCGATTCATCTTTCTCTACCCGTACCTGAGATTAAAAACTCAAATCCTACTATAATAAATCAAGGCGGTTGTGACCCACTGTTTTTGACCACCAACTGTTTCTGTAATATCAACAGAAATTTGTAGAATCGATTCAGCCTAACAGAAGGCTTCTGGATATGGTAAATATTGCTGCAACCACTTTGATTTGAATAAATCAAAGATTCCTCAATGTTAACAAAAGGATGTGCAAAAAACATGTTATGTGTATCATTATTATTGTTCTACATTCATGTTTCAACATAATAAAAATGTGCTCATTTTATATCAATAATAAATAATTTGTGAATCTATTCAAATGTCAATAAATGTAGCTCAAACTTTCTATAATTTTTTTCATAAATCTTTAGATTTTTATGACTATGTCATATACACAGTGTGTTCATGAGAAATGATTTTATTGCAGTTGTATTTTGTAACAAAAATTGGTAGCGGATTAGTTTGTTAGTTATATGAAAATGTCAAGGTACGAGACAATCTTTTCATCGTTCAGGATGAACCACTATGAACCAGGTAAAAATACTGAAAGAAGGTCGATAAAAACCTTTCGTTTAGTTTTGAAAATTGTTTTCAAAGACGATAGTTTTGTCTCATCCTGTACATTGAAATATAAATGCAATAAAACGTTATTATAAGCAGTGCAAAACACTTTGAAGTGCGTTTTTTTAATATTTAACTACACTTTGTTTCTTTTTTGTGCTTAAACTAAAGTAATTTAAATAATTTTACTGTTATGTTGAAATGTTTTTAAAAAATATTTGTTGTTGAATTCTGTCCAAGAAATATTTCCAAAAGTATGTTCAAAAGTGTATATGTATATACCTGTATTATTGTATGCACAATAAAATATGGCGTTGTAATTAAACAGTGTTTTATTTTGACATGAAGTTTGAATTTCCCAGTCGACGATTTTCTAATGTTCAAGTAATTGCATATTAAATGCTTTAATTGATTTTTTGCACATTACGGTCATCAAGGAGAAGACAAATCGACGACAAACTGCCGAAATGTAACTAAATGCTCAAAGAGAAAGCATTTTTAGGGGATCAAGTATCTGGGGGAAAATTTTCAAGTTCACAGACGCGTCAAACCTTCGCAGCTAACGTTCCACTTTAGCTTTTTTTTTTTCATAGTTGGTGGTTAGAGTTCTAATTCAGTTATCTGAATACTCGACCATTATGGGTGGAACACTAGTGCCACAGTAAAAAGAGATTTCATGAGAGTTGTCTCACTGTGCCAAAGCTATTATTCAGGTTTTTTGGCCGTGGTCTGCAGGTTTTGTACTACCAAAAAGACACTTAGCCAGTAATTTAGTTGGTTTACCCCATGGTTGTAAGGGGTGGAAAACGCAACCCCTAAAATTTTTTTCCAATGTAACTTTTTGTCTTATTATTTGTTTACCATTAAAAAATTTATTTCCGATAGCCTGTTTCATTCTAAACAAAAAATGTCTCTTGGGTTCTTTGCCCAAAATAAACCAGTTCGCAGCAAAAAATTATTTTAGGAACAACTCCAGAGATACATTGTCATAAATGCGAAAATACGAAACTAATCTATCTAGTAGGTCGCTATTAGCGATAGTGACAATTAAATTGGTATGACGCTGTCAGTTTGTGAATTTTCGAAATTGAATTAATACTAATTGTGTATTGTTGTTCTGTTCTTAATTTGTTACTTTGATAATTCACTTGTTATTAAAATGGCATACACAAATGGCTGATATGCATTACGTTTACGGTCTGTCGCAGGGGAATGGGTTAGAAGCTTCTAGAAGATATGCTGAAATGTATCCTCAACGGCAGCATCCTTCACATAGAATATTTGCTCGACTTCATCAACGATTACGAGAATATGGTTCATTCGACAAAAGAACACAGGATTGTGGTCGCCATTCGATGAGGAATCACCTCTTTAAATGTTTTACACTTATTCAGATACACCCTGTATAAATGTAAGGTTACCTAATTTCTCTTACCAATTGTTAGTTTTTTCTCTGAGCAGGTTCAATAAACTGGAGGATCTCGTTTCACAAGCACGATTATCACAATGTATGTCATATTGATCATAATTTTCATGAATCTCCGGTTAAACTTATGCGAGTGTGAGGATGACTTATCACCTCGTCCACAACAGGATAGCATGAATCTGCATCAAATTATTGAGCTGCAAAGGCAATCTGCATCAGTCGAGGAAACAATATCACAGACATAAACGAAGCCGTTGCGCTAGGAAATTTAAATCGAAATTTAAATTTGAAAGGAAATTTAAAATCGATAATTTTCAACTATATAGGGCTTCTGGAATTGATATTATGATTTTTTGAAAAATTTTGATTCCATATAAATTTTCTTTTCTTCCAATTATAAGAATTTGTATAGCTCCTATGGTGGATATTATAATTATATAGCTGCTCCGATGGGGATTGCTGCGAACCCGAAAGATCACACCCCAAATAAAGTAGTCGGCTTCGTTGAAAAGCTGAATTTATTTGTTGATTCTGAATAGGTGTTAGCCACAATTAATCCTTCGACCCTCCTAATGGAGGGTCGAAGAGACCCACTCACTCTGCACCTACCTATCTACCTAGTAACAGAATGCAAACAAGTGAAAGGAACTAAACCTAGATGGATTTTCAAAAGAAGTTCTCTGAAAGATGTAGTTATTAAAAGTGAAAAGTTTATAAATTTCTTGAACGGAGCACAGCTCAATAACGATACTGGGTTACATTAAATTTTTTGTTATCTAATGTATGTTTTTTATGTTTTCTCATAAAGTGTTAATATAACTGACGTCTGTGTATAATTACAGGGCTATTAACGGTTTTTTTGTATGCATATTTTTATTTAAGTATTTAAATTGCTCGAAATTGGTTTGGCAGGTCTATCAAATTTATCAATCAGAAAGTTAACCTGCTACAAACAGTTTTGAAAAAGAGTAAAAAAACTTCTGCCAGATAAAGCTTATTATAGTATTGGGGAATTTCTTTCAGATGACTTCGCAACTTATAATTGAAACTTATAAAAAAAAATTATCACAGACTTTTTCCATAGACTTTTTGAAGTGTGCTTGAGCCATATTAATATATTGTTTTAATTCTTGACCTTTATTTTAATGTTTCAGACTATTTTAGTTCTTAAACAACACCAAAACTTTTATAACAATAAAGCATTTCTGACTCTGACTCTTATTGTGGTGAAATTATTATTCGAAATATCTTCAAAACAAAACAAACTCTTCTAATTTACTTTCATTGAAAATGGTGACGAATGGATAGATCAGCCTTTTGATATTATTTTTACATTACTTTTGAAATATTAGGTACATACAATCTAACATTTTTCAAAAGAATTCAAATAATTTAATTTTTTTGAAGTCTGTATATTTCAAAAAAATGCAATGCATCAATATCTGAATCTTGTATATTATTTTTGATAACTTCAATCCTTGAATCTGATTTGAGCTCTATATGTATTGTATGTCCTTCAAAAAGTATGATATGATAGTTTTCTATTACAATGTAGTCTGATCTTTTTAAATTATATAATTCATAAAATGATTAGTTTAAAACAAAGTTTCAATCATATTTGTATCTTATAATAAATTAAATTATAGAACATATGTGTATACTTTAGAAATAAATAGTGTTTACAGTTTACAGTATTATAGAAATTAGATTTGTAAGGTAATGATACTTTCGTTTCATATTTAATTTCTTTTTAAAATAAAATACAGCTTCAATCAACCCAGCAAAAGAAGCAGTTTGTTTTAACCTCCTTATAACCAATAGACGTCATCAATCTGATGATATTTGAAATGCTACTAGAAACACAGAACTCTGAAATACATTATTCACTTTTCAACCTAACCTAACACTACACATACTTAAATTCAAATAGTGAGATCTACTCCCTATCTGAAATGAATTGAAATTAAGACGATCATTTACAGACTGGATCATCTTGTTCTGATTTCGTTTCTTCTAATTAATCCAGTTATATGAAAAAATGTACTAATGACTTATCTATTCCCTATCTGAAATAGATGCTGATAAACTTTTGAGAGCCATTTGTAGAGCACCTTGTTTGGTTTTGTTTCCTCCAATGAATCCCGTTGCATGACAAAATATGCAACCTTCAATTCCAGCCACTTTACTCATTTCTTCGTCTCTAACGCCCCTCCAGTCTTTATGCAGAAACACCCTACAAAAATATTTCTTGTAAACTTTTGAGAATATCGAAATTATTAAACTTATTGTTTCGGTACTGTTCAAGGTTATAAAACAGTCTGAACGAAATGAGAATCTCATTTACCTGCATACAAAACTGTCTGGTTGAATTGGAACCGCTTGAACCCTCCATGAGCCTCCTCTGTCATGAAAAATAACAAACTTTATTTCTTCAGATATTCCCATTTCTTCTTCTAGTACTGCCAAATGGTCCTTCCAAGGGCATCTTTCTTCCATTAAAATTATTTGACCACTTTGATCGATTTCATGTCTATTTTCGATGGCTTTCCTAACAATTTCTCTGCCAGGCCACCAAACTGTGGCAGCCTGAAATTATTTCCAATAAATTAGTTCACTATTTGAAATTCAATATGTACAATACAATATGTAAATATAAAGGAATCCAGTGAAAGTAAGTGGTTTTCAGTTGAATTGTCTGAATATTTTTATTTTTAAAGATTCAAGATGTTGGATGACAGAAATTATTTATTTTATCATAATTCTGGAAAATATCAGAAAAATTTAAATTTATTGGACAGGTTTTTTAAAGGTTTGCAAACGAAAATTTCTTATATATTTGGGAAAACTTCTTCAGTATAAGTTTCTTTTTGAAAATAACTTATACAAAAAGTGAAATATATTAGCTTATAGACTTTATGATACAGAACAGTTGATCGTTACAAATACAAATTATATATCAAATTATGTTTACCGACCAATGTACATTTTATTAATATCTTTTTTTGCTATTGTTTTTTTCTTTTTTCAAGTGTATCTATATTAGAATAAGTTTCCTATTCATTGAAGATTCATTCATTCATTCACAATAATACGCAAAGTTATTAAAAAAAGTCCCAACTGCCTCAACAAACGAAATGATTCACAAAGCTTATCTCTTCAGGAAGATCATTATTGTCACGTCGTTTATCTCACAACATTGCATACCTTGTTTCTGCCTGGACTTTAGATTCTATATAATAATATTCTATATAATTGACTGTCAAGTTAACATAATAAGACCTCTAAAAATCATGCTGAACAGATTTTAGATTAACGACTGAGGTAGTACGTGTGAGTTACGGAGTAACAGGAGTTTCAGTCAATCGAAAATTTGAAGCAATCGACATCATTGTATCAATTTTATAGTTTTTTTGTATGAAGAATAATTTTGAAATATTTTAAACTCAATTTACTTTGACCTGAAGAGGTCTCTGACGAAACCTAGACAAATTGTAGTTTGTTTTTCAAAAGCATATTGAATTAAAATCCCGTTACTAATTGACAAATTTCAAATAATCTGTAAATTTTCTTCAATACCCTCTGATAGTTTTTCAAACAACAGATTGCGTATTATTTATTATTTTCAATCTTACCTCTAAAACTCTTTCTGTGAACTCTTTCCCAACCAAATCTACTGCTTGAAAGAAAATCTCGTCAGTTGATTCATCTTGAGGTTCATTCCATTTTGGGTTTAGTCTACCAACTCGTGCACTTAGGTGCGTACTTATTTTATAACTTGCTTTACCCTCAGAATACATCGGTACACCATTATCGATTGCATCTATTTCTTCAACAAATCCCTCGTAAATGAAAACATAGAGACACCTCAAACATTCACTAGTTGCAGCTATTTTATGTGTTCCTAGTAGATTCGCTAAGACTTCCAAGCCAAAATGGGCATAAATCAAACCAGCCGAGCTCAATCTGAAATTTCGATCAGAAGTAAAATATGAAAAATGTTAAACTTGTAACGAACTAGAACAGAATTATTGTAATTTGTTTTTCCATAAAAAATATTTACTGATATAGAATATGTTGAAGCTTCAAAATACACAAAAATACAAAATTACAATATTTTGTAAAGTAAGAAATATAAAATATATGGATTATAGTTATTTAAAAACGAATAAGGTAAAAAGTGATTATACAGGGCTATTCAAATTCGTTTCTGTACATGGGGATCTAGTAAACGATAAGAAATGGAGTGTCGGTTGAATTATGGCAAAGTTGCGTATTTTAGAGACCTATTCAATTATGTAAAAAAATCGTATATAGCTCTTTGGGTTCTGGAGATATACAAGAAAAAACAAATAATCACATATTATTTTTTTGCCTATCCTATCTTCTTTATTCGCAAACATGTTGAAAATCTGTCCATATTTTGCTATTGGCACTTGATGTGAGCTATCCGAATATGTTCATGAATCTTTTATATAGGGTGTCATTTGACTTGGGCCACCCTCATCTTTGAATTTTTAAATACGGACCTATATTTTTTGTTGTAGTTTTTGGATCGTAGCTGTTCACTTTATACTCAAGACTCAACCTCTAACGGAAGCAAGAAACTCTTTGGAAGCAAGAAACTCTTTGGAAGGTTCGAAATAGATGAACATTTCAACCTAGCAGACCACTATTATAATATTCATGCAGCCATTGTTCACTGTGGTTCTGGTGTTGAATTTGGTCATTATTACGTCTTGGTCAATGACGAAACGGACTGGTTTAAGTTTGACGATAGTCGTGTCACAAAGTGTTCTGGCAATGCATTGAATTTATTGGAGCCTCTGGAGACACCCTACATTTTGTTTTATAAGAGAGAGGACATTGTTAGATCAAGATCTTCAGATGATGTGGTGCTGCAGGTTTTTCCGGGTTTTCCTGCAGCTGAAAAAGCAAATGCGCCACTGGAATCAATGAAGTCGCCCCGGAGCGCCAATTAATTTTAATTGTTGTTTTTATTTTATTTTTGAAATAAATGTATCTTTATACTGAGAAATTTAATTTTATTTTATATTCCTGGATGTTTCGGTAATATTTGATTATAATTGGGTGAATTATTCCCTGTTGAATTACGGCCCTGGAAATTGGTTGACTGAGTTAAATAAAAACACAATAGCAACCTTTACGTCTCCCTATGTACCGTAGAGTTAGAGAGTTTTGTTTTTCATTTTTAGGTATTTTTTCATATTTCCATTGCTCTGAGCGTTTTCTACAATGAACTTCAAATAAGAAAACCTTTTATGATTATCTGAAACATATCTCCAACAATAATATAATATATGTGTTTTTATGAGCACAAAAAGAAATGATAGCAATAATAACATCCATAACGAACACCATAATTGTAATAAAAATTGAAATGAAGTAATTTATTTACACAAAAAATTAATGGCGTAATAAATGTTCAAATTGGAGTCCTTCCATTTCGAGACAAATAATGAGCCAATAAGATGGCCTGAAAGATCACCAGATCTTACTAATTTGGACTATTTTCTATGGGGGACATTGCAAAATAGGATTTACGCTGGCAGAGAGATAGAAAATGTGGAAGACCCGAGATTGAGGATTTTGAATGATTTCGCAACAATGCAGCAAATAAGTGTATTAAGGGCAATAAATAATATGAAAAACCAAGTTCAAGGCTCCAATTCGAACATTCATTGCGCCATTAATTTTTTTGTGTATATAAATTACTTCATTTCAATTTTCATTAGAATTATAGTGTTCATTTCGGATGTTATTATTGCTATCAGTTCTTTTTCTGCTGATATAGATATCATAAAAGGTTTTCTTATTCGAAGTTCATTGTAGAAAACGCTCAGAGCAATGGAAAAAATATGAATACGTACCTAAAAATGAAAAAACTCTACGGTACATTAGGTAGACGTGAAAGTTGCCATCGTGTTTTTATTCAACTCAGTCAACCAATTTCCAGGGCCGTAATTTAAATCATACAATTGTTATCAATTACCGAAACATCCTGAAATATGAAATTGAAGTTAATTTTTCAGTATGGAGTGAACGTTGACGATACAAAAACTACAAAAAAAAATACAGGTCCGTATTTAAAAATTCAAAGATGAGGGTGACCCAAGTCAGATGACACCCTATATAAAAGATTCATGAGCATATTCGGATAGCTCACATCAAGTGCCAATAGCAAAATGTGGACAGATTTTCAATATGTCTACGAATAAAGAAGATATAAGCAAAAAAATAATTTGGGATTTTTTGGATTTTCATGTATACCTCCAAAACCAGAAGAGCTATATTCGATTTTTTACATCATTGAATAGGCCTCTGAAATACGCAACTTTGCCACAATTTAACAGACTCTATCTCTTATTGTTTACGAGATCCCCATGTACGGAAACGAATTTGAATAGCCCTGTATAAATTCAACTGAACACAGACTATTGTAAGGCAAACTCTTCATAAATATTTTTTTTTCTAGTTCACTCTAAGAACTGTTTCAACAGTTGGAGAATTGTCACTAAATTACGTACTGACTATGGTCCCATGTAAATTGTTTCACTGCATAACTAATTTATTGATTTAGGGCAATCCAAAATAGTATAAAACAGAAAAAACCTGTGGTAATGATTTAATGAGGACGTGGAAGGTTTTGAATGTCAGAAATTCTTCTAATTTGAGTCCAACTTGCTCTGATAACTTATTTAACATAATCATTACAGAACATTATTTCAACAAATGAACACTAGAGAGGAATGTTGAAACAATCTCTTCTATTTCTAATGCCAAAGTCACTTGTTATTGGGTAAGTATTGAATTGTGATTTATTCTCAAATGCAAATATGATTCTTTCATATTTTCAGATCAATGTAAGTTAAGGTGGGGCAAGTGCATGGTATGGTTTGCAAAGTTCAACTCCAAGAAGACCTCAAAAATCAGCTACTGATGTTGGGTTAATTTTTCTTTCTGTTCTGGATACCTCTGAACCACCTGTTTTCAAATATACAACTGTTTTTCCTCAACCTCGAAAAATATATATACAACTGTTTTTTCCTCAACTTTGAAAAATATTAGCAATATGGTCAAAAAGGCTTTTTGATTGTGACTAAAGCACTTGTCCCGCCAAAACGGGGTAAGCGCATAACATGCCAGCAAAATGCCTGAACTTGCCTTCTTTTTTTCACCAAGGTCATGAGTAGAAAATGTAACTCCCAACAATCAATATCCATTTTGAAATTTCAACAGTAAATATAGATTTTTAGCACAAAAAAGAACACTGAATATACATTCCATATAGTTGGTAAGGTCTCGGGGGGAGGTTGATGGAAATTAATTTCCCTAAATAATCAAATAACTTGTTTTTATTGCAGATGAGAATCCTGATGATACATTCCATATAGTTTTTACTTGGAGAGGTAGTTACTTTGAATAATCAAATAACTTGTTTTAATGAGATAGTTCTGCATTCTAATTTTAATATATTTTTATCGTAAAAAAGTTTAAGTTATGTAGAACTTTGTTCGTATTAGAATTACCGTGTATGACCTATGAAGTGAATATTTGTCCTTTAGGGAAAATTTTAATGTTATCATATGATTTATGTTGCTCGGAAGTCAATAGCAAGTAACAATTAACAAATTGGAAAGTGACAAATTATCAATTATAAAAAATATTAACAATAATCAAGCAACAATAATTTTCAGGAGAAACTTACTTGACAAATTTATTCTTGATCAGATCAGGTCTAACAGTGCTAATTGTATGTGTGAAACTCCTTTGGTGATGATCATACTGATGGGTTTTCGGATTATATTCTCCACCTACATCAACTACTATATCACATTTCTCTAAAATCTTAAAAATTTCAGTTATAAACTACTATTTGATTGATCACATACATTGAGATCGCGAGACCTTATAATCTTGGCATCAGAGTATTCGGGCAGCTGCTTGAGCATGAAGCATGCTAGGGCTTCATCACAATGAAAAACTCCACTATGGGTTCCAATAACTTTGGACAAACGTGCGTTCTTAGTATTAGAAGCCATTGTACTGAAACTAAAAAAAAGTTGACATAGATATTAAAAAAAGAAATATATCCTATCAAGTAACAAATAAAACTTCTGTTCGTACCCTTTCCACACAGCTGAAATCGTATAAGAAGATATTTGAAGAATTTTGCCGCTCAATGCCATGAATTCTTTTGATATCATAACCTCACTTCCGCACTTACATGAACTGTCACATATATATCATGAAACAAAAATATCAGATAAAAAAACAAAAAACAGGACACCGGCGAATGAAATAGCGTTTTCCATTGATAAAATTAATGCATATTCAATGTCATTTTATTTATGTCCTCTGTTTTTCGAAACAATAATGAAGGGGTAAATCTTTGGAAGATATTCGTTTTTGGGAAAAAAAGGTTTTGACTTTCTATTTCTCCTTTGTTATACAAAAGAAATGTGGGAATCTTGAAAAATAAAAAGAAGAAAGCAATTGAATTCAAAATAAGGCTAGGTTAGGTTAGGTCCAAAATGAGTGGGTCTATTCGACCCTCCGCTGCAACCCGCAAGGGTTTATTGTGGCTCACACCTATTCACCCTCGACCAAATAAACTCAGCTTCTTAACGAAGCCGATTAGTTTGTTTGGTGAGTGGTCTTTCAAGTCAGATGTTAAATGTATGGCTCTGCCGAACTCTAAAAACCTGATTCGGGGCACGCACAAAGTATGTGCTATGCCATTTCATTATTCGACAGCCCGAGTCTCTGCATATGATGATTCAAATGACAGTGACCTGTAAGAAAGCATGTAAGACATCGTAGTTCATCCCTATTGTAGTCCAACAACCGTTTGGTATCAAGTTTCGAAGGGTGAATAAACGCCTTGGAGTTAGCCAATCCTGCAATATTCTGCCAGAAGTCCATAAATCTTCTTGCCATCCAGGTGTTCAATCTTTGTTTGGCAAAGCCTAAAACGATGCAAATGAAAGGTTCTGGTCCGATGACGCTGTTTGCAGCACCCTCCTTTTCAAGGGAGCCAGCAGCCTCATTGCCTCATTGCCAGTATGGCCACGAATCCAGACCAGTCTTTCTATATAAAAGAGTCGTTTTTGTCAATTTGCTATCAATTTAGACGTTGCTTCGTAGAAGCCAAGAGCCGTTTGACTGTCCGAGAATATTTTTATTGACTTGTGTATGATGTTGGATTCTTCCAATCTCTCCGCACACAATTCAATAGCGTAAATGTTCGCTTGAAATACAGTCGCATAGGTTCCTGTGTCTGCGACTGAATACACCTGAACCAGAACCGGGAGGTATTTTTTATCCATATGTGAACCAACAACTATCTGCTTTTAATATTTCCTTCTCCAGGATTCAGTCCTCTCTACTCGGGAACAGTACTTTATAAGGCAGTTTGTAGTTGATAGTTGGAGGCATAAAGTCAGAGGTCATTCCCAGAATGCTGTGACTTCCAGTGTCAACCAGCAGTCTGTTATACTCTGCATTAAATTGATTTTTGCAATGGGCAATATGCACAGGTCTATATCCAGTCCATCTAGCCTCTCTCTCTCCAGAAAAATGTGGAGAGGAGCTTCAAAATGAACTCTTTACAAAGATGTGTATATAGATCATGCAAAGAAGTAACTTTTAGACACAAACTGGAAGGAAAAGTCCTCTCAAAACAACTTCTTTCATATAAACATTGGAAAATTTCCACGTGTTGTATAAAGATGAAGAGTAGAATAACAAAACATTTCTTTCCAAGATCAGTTTGATCTTCCCCTTGAAGATGATGACTTGGTGATCGAAACACGTGTCGAGGTGTTAAAATAACGGTTTGGTAATGGAAAAAAACTCCGGTAATATTCATTACTACACCAAAGATTCCAAACAGTGCCTCACAAGTAACAGGGGTTAGTATAGCTGAATCATTTATTTTAAAAAAAGTAAGTCATAAAAATTCGAGATGAGGAATCAAAAATGAAAACCAAGCTTTGGATAATTATAGATAATTTTATAACAGAGGTTTGAAAGTTGGGCTCATAAAACGTAGAGCAATCGAACCTGTGCCTGTTCTGATGGACTAATGTTGAAAGAAAGAATGTTCGGGTAGTTTTGAGAATCAAATGTCCGCTGTATCAGGAGATGGTGGCAGATATCGTTCTCCCATTTTATACAGAACGCATTTTTTCAAATTAATAATAATAATCTTCATTTTAAAAATATGCCAACTGTTACAGCTTGTACACAGACTACATAGAATGAAATGATGTCGTAAATATATACATTTCCATAATTTTGTTTGGTTCCAATAATCACACTATATGGTTCTAAATTTATTAAAATTCTTTTTATTTTTTTCTTAGATTCATTTATGATCCTCAAATCCTTGATTCGATTAGGCAATTTATTATACAGCTTCATTGACATGTAATGAGGAGTTTTTTCAGTTATAGTTACTTATGTAGAGGGAGCACGAAATAAATTCTTATTTCGGTAGAAATATTGATTAATATTGTTAAAGAACAGATGTCAATTCTTCAATAGAAATATTAAGCATTCATTAATATAAAGGGAGTATATCGTCATTATCCATTATTCTTGAAAACATATCTACACGATTGATAATACTTCAAATTATTCATCATTCTTATAGACCTTTCCAAATATTTTATTAGTATGATTATTACTTACCCAAAATATGATTCCATATGTACAGAGTGAAAATTTGCAAATTATAAAATTTTCACTGATTCTTTATTGAGATATTTGTGAACCACCCTTAGTCCATATGAAATTTTGCTCAATTTGTCAGCTGTATAATCAATATGTTTGTTTCATTTCAAGAATGCATCAATACGGAGTCCTAGAAACTTGATGTCTTCTGCATATTTTATCATAATGTTTACAATATTCAAATTTTGTGGTCGTTTTATCTGTAATTGATTAGTTCTGAAGAGTATGAGATTAGTTTTAGATTCCTTCAAAATTAACATATTCCCAGTGAAACATTCTTTTGTATCATCAAACATTTCCATACCTGTTTTTACTACTTCGGGATATGTTTCTCACTGCCTATTAATAAATTGGTGTCATTAGCGAAGACTGTAATTGGTTTTTCCGTGTTTGAATGATAACATAAATTGTTCATGGAGATAATAAATAATAAGGGACCTGCAATGCTTCCTTGGGGTGCTCCGACTTTGACTGCAGTATTCTCAGATTTATATATTCGACCACTGTTTGTTAATAGTTACTATTTGTTGGTGATCTGTTAGGTATACCATACAGTTATAGTTTTTTTATAAGTATCTCGTAATTCAAGCAGTCAAATGCCATTCACAGATCTAAAAACAAACCAAATGCTGAATATTTTCTTTCCATCGAGTTTATTATATTCTGAGTAATTTGAAATATTACACTGTGAGTACATTTTTTTAAAGAGGGTTTTCATTATTTCATTTTGGAAGGGGAAGGATTTCTTTCATGCTCGTTGGAGAACTGTGTATTATATTGTATTTTTGCTTTACTATTCTTATGTGTGAAAATTAAATATTTTCATTAGATTTGGAGTTTTTATTTGAGCTTAAAAAAACTTACTACTTATACAATAATTTATTAGTTCATACACCAGAATATCTTATTGAACTCCATGAAAATGTTGCCAAAAATGCTGGCTCTTCAATTGTGAAATTGACAAAGAGTGTGTGCATTAAATTAATTTTTGGTGTTTGAGCTTGAGTATTATTTAAATTCCAATGTTAATTCACTCAATTAAATATCGAAGAGACATCCATACAGAAAGTTGATGTGATATCACAACTAGGATGTTGTGATAATATTACAGATTAGATGATTTCTCAATTTTATATAACACTTATTTCATTGACATCAAAGCGCAATGTTTCACTGACATCACAATTTGATATTTCCATGGTACAATTATGAGTATGATGAAAGTACATCGTGATATCCCAAGGACATATCCTATATGTAATTATGTTGGCTGGGGTGATTGAAAAAAAAAAGAGAACATATATAAGTAACTTCAAATTATCATGAATATGTCCATCTTCATTCCTACATGATATACACTAACCAAAAGCTGAAATGAGTTGAAAGTTAGTGTTCTAGTTTTGAATCATTAATACAGGGCTTCTGAACTCTGGTATTATCTAGTTGCCTGTTTTTCATTGAAAACTGCAGAGAAAGAGATAATCGAAAACGATTTCTTATTCTGCGCAACAACACCATTAGTCATCATACCCCTTTTTACTCAGCTGTATACCCCCTTTTGAGTCAGCATTATTCTTTTTGAGTACAAAGACTAGCAGCACTGATTAGACATATCATATTGGATAATGAATGCAATAACATTGGTATAATATAGTCATAGTTTGCAAAGCTAGGTTTTATAACAATTAGAAGATTGAAAATAATCATGTAAATAATCAATATTCATTTATATTTCTAAATATCACCATACTTTTTCGAAAAGATAAACTTTATCGGAGTAAAAAAATTTATACTATAATAATATTAATAAATTATCGCCTTCGCTTCACTTTGGACCGCCCTTTTTTCTTTCTCTTTCCCCCATCCTTTTTCTTTTTGGGTGGCTTAGGAACTGGAGTAGAGTTGTTAGGCCTTTTAGGTGCAACAAGATTCTGCTCGACCAAATCTGCTAATTTTCCTTGTTCGGCGAGCATTGACAAGAATGTGCAGATGAACTCGTCATAGTTATGGGTTCTTCGACTGTCGTCAACCTGAGATAAAATAATTTTGCCAAAGAATGTTAAAAAAAAAAATAAAACAAACTAACAAAACATAGAAATAAAACTATAATGGGGTGTACCCTAGTGTGAAAAAATACAAGAAAGCATGTAATGCTCTAGATCTAATAAGAATTAGCGAGCATATTGAAAATTTTCAATACAGGTGTACTGAACCAAGAATTTTAAAATATTATATTTTAGTAATAATTTTAACACCTCACAGATATGATACAATTCTGCAAAATTGGTGACTTGACCTGATTCATTTGAGTAACACTGTATTGTGAGAGGGACACGTCCAGTGAAATTCTAACAATAAAGTGTTATTCGAATAAATTATGGATTTCCATCAAGTATTGGCTGATGTAGCTGCATTTCAAAGTATTCCATTATCAGCGAGAAGTAATTCACGAAAAACGGAAATTTTTGCTACTCATATTAAAAACACTCTTCTTGAACTCCTGTAAAGGGCACCTTGCTACGCCATATCACTTTATGAATCATGTGACACAGTTAATGATGAACAAATGTCTATTTTCGTAAGATTTCTTGATATCGAGTGTCAGATTTTTAGGGAAGAATTGCTAGCAATATTTCCGTTGAAAGGTTACACTCGAGGAGATTTATTCAAGGTCATTGATGAATTTATTACTAAATCTAACATTAGTTAAGATAAAATGGTGTCGCTTTCAACTGATGGGCCCCAGCAATGATTGGCAAAGAAAAAGGTGTAGTAAAAAGAATAAGGGATAAAAACTCAGGTCTAATATCCTATCAATCCATAATTCACCAAGCAGCCCTTTGAGGAAAACTTAGTGCTACATTGAAAGAAGTGATGGACAGCTTGGTCAAGTTGATTAATTTTATGAGATCTCATTCTGCTCTTCAGCACCGACATTTCAAGAAGTTTCTTTCTGACAGCGTATTCTGACTTGTTGGCTAAGTAAAGGTCAGTTATTGAAAGTTTCTGGCTGATAAAACAAGAAGTAACCTCCTTCTTGCTAAACTTAGATATGGAGAGAACCAGAAAGCACAAACAAGCGTAATATTTTGAAATATTCAAATGCGCTCAACACAGAATCACAAGGAAATAGAAAATTAATATGTGATCTGATACAAAACGTGTCTGCTTTTCGTGGCAAGCTGGATATCTTTAAAAAAGATATTGCAAGACAAAAATTTATTCGTATTCCGACAATTCTTTAATATAAAAACTCTGAAGAAGACATTGCAGTGTTTGTAAAATTTTTGGCCGATCTTAAGAACGAATTTGCTACAAGATTCCAAAACTTTGCAGAGATGGTCAAGCTATCTCCGTTTCTTAAATCGTCATTTGAAGTTGATGTACCTAGCAGCAGAATGGACAGCTATTTGTGTACCTGATAAGTTGAATTTATATTGTTTCATTATAGTAAAAATAAAGATCAATTTGTTCATTAAAAAAATACTGGAAAACAGTGAAAAATGGGATCCTATATTAATTGAACTTTTTGATTGGAAAGGACTTACCCTATCACCGATTTGAGTTTCATCCACTACTTAAGTGACACACTGTATATGATGAAATCATATTTTTATTTTGAAAGGAAAATCTTATATATATCTTCTAGCTTGTCATTTCCACCTCCTCTGCAAAGGGAAATTCAATCCTTAAATATAAAATGGGATGAGGGATCAAAAATACCTCACGTGAAAAGTCATTGATTTGTCTCTTCAACACTCTTAAATTTAATAAAGTACATATAAAAAAAACAAATGTGCTTTCATTACTTTTTCATTAGGTAGCTAATATGATATTCATTAAGAATTGCTGTGTGGGGAGTCTTCTTTGACCTCACACGTGATTTGATATCATACTTTTTGAAGTAATGAGCATTCGAGATTCCATAAAATCTTTCATTTTTTCTTATATGGCTGGCAGAACACTAAAATTTGAGGTCAATAAAGAACTGTCGATATAGTATTGGGTCCTTTGCTGTTCTTGTTGTATATCAATTATTCACATTAAAAATTAGTGGTCTTCATTTATGCAAGGATTCAATTATTGTAACTGGTTGGCAAAACGCGCGTCGAGAAGAGTGTTGCAATTCTGGTATTTGAGAATAGTGCTTATTTTCAATACGATTTTTTTCATTTCACTTCCCTTAAATTAAAAACCCTAGAAAATAGATATTGATGACCTTTAAAACTAGATTTTGCTTGATCCCCATTCCCAATTAAGTCTTCGAGGGAGTTAAGCTGACAAGGTAAAGAATAAACACAGACTAAAAATGATATTCAACGGGTTCAACAGGTCAATTATAAAAAATTGAAATTATTTAGTTTGTATTGCTCTTCCTTTTATATTTCAGCATAAGTCTGCAGAAAGTAAACTGTCTAACCCACCTTATACTTGTTCTGTTTGTCATTTTCATCCTTGAGACTGATTTCACACATGCAAATTTCATTTTCTAGATTCCGTAATAGTGCTAGAAGATCTTTTGGGGCAAATGTGTGGGGTTCTAGCAATTCCTGGTTTTTCTTTTCGGCTATCACAGGATCACCATCACTTGTGTGAACCCGAGCATGCACGCCACTTGATTTTCTTTCTGTTGTTTCAGAAGGTTTTGTTTCTGAAAACACAATCTAGTTACAATTGATGTTATTTGTCACTTTAGTTTTTTTAAACACCTCTCTACCTTGAAGTGATGTCAATTCCACTCAATCTAAGAATGTTAAAAATCACAGACATTTAGTATAGGCAAGAAAATTTGTTTGTTTGAGAGTAAAAATTGAATATTTGAATATTAAACTCTGTCAAAACGAGAAAGTGTCGCAGATTTTTCGTGTTTTTTCATATTATTTTATTACATATACATGAAGCGATTTAATGCCTTATATAAAAAAATCCATATGAATAATGAATTATGTGATTACTGTAATCTTTTATAAATGAGAACCCTTAGAGTGTCCTTTTCATTATTTGTAATGACGTGAATAAATAAAATATGGTTCAGTTTTCATTTCTATTTATTTTTACTTGTGAAAGGTAGAGGGAATTATAAAATCTATAATGTCCCAAGAAAGTTATGACCCTCTTTATTGATAGCGTAACTATGACGATATAAGCTTATAATATCCCGGTCAGAAATAAAGAAGTTTATCAATCCAATAAAGATCCCAGGCATATTAGAACTGAAACAAATAGTGGTGTATACTTGAAGTTCAAAGATCTGCCACTCTTATCGGCCCATTTCCTTCCCTATGAAGTTGCCACTGTGTTATAAGGTGGTAGTTGCTCAAATAAATCATACATATGGTTTAATCTATATTATCAAAGTCTTTTGAAATGTTAGGATTTGACCTCCACATTCATATTGTTGTAAATCACCCCTTAAAAAAATAACGCCGGCCGCCTATGGTCGTCATAAATCAATTGTGACGTGGCCAAGATCGCCATCAACTCGACGTGCGCTTCACGATTGTTTTAGTTAGGTGCCGCATCGCTTCTATAGACTTCTAGCGAATTCCCTATTGGTTTCAAGAAAATTCGCTACCCACACCCCGATCAAGAAGTCGAGTGACAGTGCTGTGCGGAGTGAATTCAAATAAGTCGATAGACATTTGAATAGTAGTTTGAAGTTTCAGTGTTTGGCTGTATTAAAAGTGAAATGAAGTTAGGTTTGATTATTGCAGAGCTTAGTAAATTTTTTCAAACCTTTGGGGAAAACTTAACAATATACATTAAGTAAATATCTGAAGCAATATATTCACCATTTCCATAAAAATCCCTCTATACAAAGACCTGTAATAATTCGCACAAAACTATGGAAATATACCATTTTCTCTTGACAATTTAAAAACTCACATGCTAAGTTTAGAGAAAAATAGACGCAATGATGAACACTTTTACATTATTGACAGGCACAGACTTCTGCTGAGTAAAAACATGTACTCACCACACTTTTCCTTATCCCTATCTCTGTCCTCTTGTTCAGCCATTCTTAGTACTACAAATCTCTTCAAGTCTCTCGATGTGGGACTGTTCTGGGAACCTGACGAATTCGCCCAGTTCCACGCCTGAGTCGGAGAATTGAAAGCCGATCCAATATCGGAGGGAGTATCTGTGCCTGAAGTGCTTGGAGCCGGAGACGTCTGAATGGTTAAAGGGGTGGCATAATCCAGAGGGCATAAAGTAACCTTGGTGATATTTGAGGTTGTTTCGTTTTTGGCGGCTTTTGCGTCATCTTCAGTTTCTTCTTCATGTAAGTCTTCAGTCTGTTTAAGAAAAAAATCTGATTTTTTTTGAATACTAATCTATTCTATGAAAAATTTCAGTGTGTAATATTGAAAATCTCCAATTTCAATATTACCCCTGGAGGATAAAGATTTAGTAGTAGTAGTAGCTTCATCTTTGAAAATAACATTTACTTCTGGCACTTCTCAAACTGAGGAGTGCCAGAAGATGACAGTACTACCAACTGTCGAAAGCGCTCGCAGATAATTAATAGAAGATATAAAGCTTCAAATCCTTTTTGTAGAATTTAATATTGAAATACTCAAAATAAAGGAAAATTAGTTNTACCTCTCAAGTCCGCTATTTACCTCCTATGTGATAGCCACTATATGCAAAATACTGAGCCATAAATACAAATAAATTGAATATATTTTTTACACTGCACATTTTAGAATATCTATTCAATTCTTATAAAAATTCATACAATTGTCGTTTCAAGTATTTAATATAGATTAACTTTGTCTTTTATACTAAGTAATTTTGGCGAATCCCTTAAAAGTTATCGCGATAAGATTAACTTGGCACAATGCAGTAAGCCATTACGCGTCACGTCTACTATAATACGATGGGGGTAGAGGGACATTCTAAGCAATGAAGCACCATTCCTGAGAATGGACCCGAAAGCGGGCAGACTCGTGGGGGCAGACGTCATTGACGGTTGTGTTAGTTTTGCGAATTTCTTTATAGATAACAATTCCATTCTCGAAGCTATTCATTACTTTTGCTTTTGCTCTTGACTCGATGTTACAAGTACAATTGAAGTAGTTTAGTTGTATATCATCTCTTCTGTAGACTCAGGGTCAAAATATTTGATTACTTTCTGATCCACAGTCTCACGAATAGCTAGGAAAAGAAGGTACATATAACGTACTTTTGAAATAAAGACTTATTATTCTTTAAAATATATCCAATCAGCACGGATACACACACTTCAGAATGAGGTATTATTCAAGACTCTTACCTCTTCACCCTGCAGGGATATTCTAATGCTCCCTGAAATATGAAAAAATATGATAGGTATCCTGAATAATTTTATTACCTCACAATGATTCGAAAATATAAAAATATTTTCCATATACTATTTCAGAAAACTTCAGTTTTTTGTTGAATAACTCACCTTCTTCTCTTCTACGTTAACATTACTACTTGATTTGTTCCCTTCTAACTGACTATCACTTTTGAATGCATTTCCCGCTTTATCTTTTATCTTCACAAGGTGTTGCAAAGCGTCCAAAACAATTTGTTTGTTAGTGCGCAACATTTTCAGTTTATGTTGTATAGCTAGTCTCCTATCTGGTACCACCGCCATCAAGTTGAACCTGATTTCATTATATTCGTCAGCTGTAATACCAAGCCTGTTTGTGATGACACAACGGAATTTATCTGTCCATTCCATATCATTGCAAGGTCCATGATCGATGGGGAAAGGTTTCAAACCATCCAATTCAAACAGCCGTCCACCAATTGGAACAAAACTGACAAAGTGGAAGGCTTCTCCTATGAAAAAATATTTCATCAACAAACGAATTTTTCAGAATTTCAAAATAAATGATGTGTCAATATTTCGCAGAAAGAAAACTGTATAAAAATTTGCTACATTAAGAATCTACTAAAAACACTTTTCCCACATCAGAACCAAAGAAATGTGCGAGTGGGTTTTGCTCAGCCAGTTATCACCCGAAGACGATTGTGGATACTTACAACTAGACAATGGAAGTCCGAACTAATGAAATGCACCATGAAACATTGTCAACCACCTTCAAACAGATATAGGACACACAATGATATATGTGAATATCTGTTCTGTTCTGTTTAAAATCTGTTTTTCCGTTAACCAGCTGTCGCACCCCTACGAACGACAACCCTCAGAAGTCGAAACTTGTGCGAGCCAAGGATTAACGAGGTCTTACCTTTTAACGTGTGATTCCTAACACGATTCCTCCACATAAATAATAAACCAAAATATTTTCAATACAATATATTTTTTTCCAATTACCTGTGAAACGACCAGTGGAAACCCCACTCCCCTTTTCCAGTCTCCTCTTAGCCAAAGGCATAGCATGTGAATTATGAGCACAGGCCAATTCAGGGGTGTTCCCGATGGCCCAACCTTTATTGTCCGGACTCATTCCATACGTGTGTGCTTTTAATCTGGCGAGAGTCTCGCCTAAGTGAATGGTAGGACAGTTAAGTAGAATAGAAATAAGGGCATGTGTAGCACAACTATTCGGTACCATTTGTTGGGCGAAAAATATATTATTGACGATATCCTCATCCTTAACGAAAGTTTCATTTTGCTCGACAACTTTACGCCTTGACCTTCTCTCTTCAATCCACCTGAATAAAAAAATAAATCCATATACTGGACTGTCCAAAGGTTTATTGAGGTCATAAATTTCCTCTACTTGTACGCCTTTAACACCAAAATCCTCTAGAAGTAGAGTGAACAAGCCAGGATCACTTTCTAATTCTAACCATCCTTCCGTTAACTCCTTTATATCTACCGGCATTATATTATGATAAACAAATGTCAGTATTGACTATATTATTGTTTACAATCATAGACATGACAGGTTGGACTGGCCATTAGAAAGAGACCATTACCCATTGACCACAGATCACAATAATAGGTTATGTTTAATGTTGTTGTGACTGAGCAGAGAAAAACCAATCATATAGAAAATATTGATGGTGACTAAGAGATCATCTTTGCCATTGAATTGATCTATGAACAAAAAAGGAAATATGGCTAATATACCGTTAACGTTTCATATTTTTGATTCCTTTCGGTAAATTTAAATGCGTTCAAAACATGTATCTCTCCCAACATACCTACTCAGTAAGTATTAACCAAGGAAGTAGTTGTTTTCCAACAGGCGTTTACCAGAGCCTACTGTGTAGGTACGTTGCGAGAGATGAATGATTCGAGATTCCATTTCGAAATATGGGAGGGTAAACCGCTTCGTTACATAACGCTTAACGGCGCTATAGTTTATCTGGCTTCCCTTTCTCCTCACTCGAAACTACAGCGCTAGCCGTATTTCGGACTAACGCTGACTCAGTGTTCAGTGTGCAATCGACATATACCGTTGACAGTGAGCAAATAGCCTAAAACTATCACCGCTTTCGAAAGTTATTATAAAAAATTTGATAACACGATTTATCAATATCAAGCATGCAAAACATGTCTTCCGCCGCAAAGTATATATATTTTGAATTTCTATATATCTTTAGCATCACTGCTTCGATAGATAGATAGATCGATTTTTATTCATTCGGTATATTGATATGAAAACTTGCTTTTTGATTTCAGGGGTCATCCAATTATCACGTGATGTTTTTCAGCAACTTTTTGACCCCCTCCCACGCATAACAGTCATAACAGGAGTCAAGTTCACTATGGGCAACTGTAGTCTGTCTTGGCATATTTGGCATGTCTAATATTCTTCAAAAACTGTTATCCGCTCGAAGAACCAATGTTAATTGGTCTTGATATCGATGAATTTCCTCTTTAATCGCAAAATTATCGTTTTCATTCAATGAAACTTATAACATTATAGTGACAAGTCAAACATAATTTGTCAAATACTACTTTTCACCTACTATTATACAAAATTAAATGAACATAAAAAACGGGACCTTGCACACATACCTACCGGTGATCGGCGCCGATCATTGGTCGGCGTGTGTGCCAGGTCCCGTACCCATACGTGGTTCACTATTGGAATTTGGACGACCGGTAAAATCGGCCGTCCAAAATCGGTGTGTGTGCATTTAGCGTATGGGAAGCTTCAATTATCGACCGGTTAACAACATGGATGGTGTGTAGCCTGTCGCTTCATGTTGGGAGCTCTGGTATGCCAACAAAAAGCGAGGAATCAATTTATCCCATTCTGTTTGGTTTTCGGAGACAAACATCGAGAAGTAGTTGTTTATTGAGCGATTGTGCCTCTTGACCATACTATTGGATTGTGGGTGAAGAGCGGCGGTTTTTGTCTCCTGTATTCCCAACAATGTCATCATTTTCTTCTATATATCACATTCGAAGTTGCGGTCCTGATTCGAGTATAACTCCGGGGGTACTCCTGGCCTGGTAATTATGTTCTGAAACAGTGCTTCTGTCCCCGTTTCCACCTCTTCGTTGGGTGAGGCTACTTCTTCAGGCTATTTGGTGAAATAATCCATCACATCCATAAGGTACTTGTTGCCGGATGTGGTAGCAAGAAGTGGCCCAAAATGTCAACGGCGATTCTCTCGAAAAGGGGTACTGGGGTATTGCTTCAACTTTTCCCTTACTTTTATGTTTTCGGGCCCTTTCTCGAAGAGCACAATTGACCAAATAGTACATTTCACGCACTCTAGCTGGAGTTCTGTCCTCCAGTGCTACCACGGCGGAGCTGTTTGAGTACATTTGGAATATATGTTTTGGTATATTTGCGAGTGAGTAGGTCATCTCAAGTGCACACAGAGTCTCACTGGAGCTAGTAACATGATGGCCCTGCTTGTAAATCTCATGTTATTCCGGCGTCACTCTTTTGTCAATGTATTCTCGTACAGTTTTCAAGACCGGGTCCTTCTATCGCGTTTCAGTGATGTCTTGCTTCGTCATGAAGATAGTGTCACCTTCGAGAGCTGTTAACGACCATGACACATCATGATCAGGTGATTCCTCACATCTTTTGTCTGTATTCCTGGACAAGGGACCCTTACAAGTTGCTACCTTTCGAGTCAAAGGGAAACCGAATCAGCGGGAGGTAGGGGAGCTTATTTTCCTATCAGAGCTGTCCCTAAAGAAGTATCCGCCCGCTCCCTTGTCACATCTGGTTGAGAGTTTTTTTCCTGGTAACTAGGTATCCTTGTTCTTCTGACTTTCATACAATTTGCATCTGGATTTCAAAAACAGTTTTCTTTAGAAGCTTTCCGAGTTTCAGTAACTTTTTTCTTTCTGATGGCAAATTTCAAAATTGTAAGTTTGTAACTCTCTGAAGTAGCTAACAATGACTTGTGGTAACTGTATTATCATAACTTGAAACAAAAATTCAGTCTAGCTTTATTTGCTGAGGGGTGGTGGTCGTCTCATTCGTCCATCGTTGTATCCGCTATTTTAATGATGATATAGTGTAGTTCTTTCGATTTTAAACTATGATCACTTACATACGTTACTTAATTGTTCCAAACGAGGAAAAAATGCATTTTTCAGAAGTTCAAAAAATAGTTAAATACAAAATAGAGTTCTCAACTATTGAACAATAAATACATTAGCAGAGTGTATCTTTCTAAAACATTTCATTTCGTGTGTTTTCGAATATCTGAATGTTAGTAGATGCCTAAACACTTCCATTATACAAATTTATTTCTACGCGCATCAAAAAAGTCACCCAAGAGATTCGCCTCTCACAGTTCTTCTCTTTCTAATGTAATGTAGTCGTTCATCAACGACTATGGACGATACAGGATTGCTTACTTTTGCGATTTTGTTAGACACGTCACGTGATCTCGTGACGAGTTTCAGAAACCTAATTGGTATAATTAAATAAAAATGTAATCAAAATAAACAAAAACAATGTATTACTGTCCGAAAATAATCCTCAAAAAATGTTAAAATAACACAGTCTCATGGCAGCTACTAAAAGTGTCACCAGTGTAACGTCACTTCTGCTTGGCGATTGTTTAACGTGGCGATATATGTAAGTAAGCAATTCTGTATGTCCATAATCGTTGGTCGTTCACTACCAGGAACTCAATTCTCAACATTACTTCCATTAGACATGAAAGCTTGCTGTTCCATGGAAAAACATATTCGAAATAATCCTAACGGATGTACTGGTTGTACCCCGAACTCAAAATATTGTGGTTACCAGAATATATTATTCTATGTCATTTTTTGTATTTATGTTTGGTGTCGTAAAAAATTTCGTTGAGAATCGTTTTCACAGGTTCGTCTTCTTAATGAAAATATAGCTTTCATGTGATTTTTGGCAATCAAAGAGGTCATTTGGCTTAACGAGCTGCAAAATGTGGAGACTGTTGATAATCTAACCAAGAAATGTTCTCTGGAAATGCTTAATGACAAGTAATTCATCAAAATGTTCACAGCTGGACACAGATATTACTCCTCTGAACTTATAAAGGTTTTAATAATTCACTGATATTGTCTAAAAAGATGTTAACACGTTTGGAATCGATGAGCAGAAAAATAAAAATAAAAGAAGGATATATTGAAAAACCAGAACCGATATATTCGAATCAGTTATTTAAAGAAATGAAGTAATATAGAAGGAGAAAAAATAAACAATGGTTATGAATTTTAAAAATGTAACAACACTATTTGTAAAGAAAACAAATTGTGATCTAAAATGAAAATAAATTGATGAAATAGAATGGAGACGTAAATTCTGAATGGAATCGTGAACTTTCGTTTTAAAAAATCTTTCAAATTTTCACGAGGTTTATATGTTTTTTCTAAACGGTTCAAATAAGCTCAAACGGTTGGAAAAATACTAACAACCACAAAACAACTATAATTTGATTTTGAAAATAACCAAGGACAGAGAAAAACAATAATGAGAAAACTCAAATTTTGATGAAGTTCCTTCTTCTTCCCAAAATTTCCAGTAATTTGATTAATATTCAGGTATCATAACTGGATATACAGAACTTCTCCTACGAGAATATCTGTACAATTTGTACTCGAGAATACCATCTAGTATTCATGGCAATATATGTGTGGAAATATAATATTCTGTGGGTATGCTCATATGATTTTGAGAATCGGGCCCCCACCAATTGATTCAATGTGGATTTATCTACTGATTCACTCGAAACTTTAGCACGTTTTCTATTGTTCGAAGCAATCCATCAGAAATTTTCTGTTGAATTCAAAAATTTGTCCCCGTAGAAACATAAGACCAGTTCTTAAATTCACCAATAAGTCCACCAAATCCGTTAACCAGCTGTCACACCCCTACGAACGACAACCCTCAGAAGTCGAAACTTGTACGAGCTAAGGACTAACGAGATCTTACCTAACACGGGTTGGACGATAGCAAGTGAAAATCGATCGATCAGCCTAGGGCTTGAACCACCGACCAACACGGCGGTCAATTTGAGAGAATAAACAAAGCACCCACATCGAACAGACCGGCTACCGACCGATGATTCGATGAATTAATCTATTGGCTCAGCTATTGGTCAATTCGAAACGTTAGCACGTTTTCTATTGGTTGAAACAATCCATCAGAAATTTTCTATTGAATTTAAGAACTCGCCTATACATACATATAGCCTCGTCTAACCTAACTACCAACGATGAGTAGATCCGTGCCACAGTTCCGTGCACAACACACAATCCGTGTTTTGATTTTGAATGATATTTTCAACGGTCAATCTGTAATCTGAAACAATAAATAAATATATGTTTTCTCTATGATCTGAATCTGTATATTACTGTCAAAAAAAGTTAGTATTCGTTAGTGCTTTATTATGTTTTTACTAGGTTTCAGCATATATTTTTAATTCATAGTCGTTAATTCGTTAGTGATTCATTGCCATGGAAAATTCAGAAAATACCAATTCTGTACTATCTGATGACTTGAGTGATGTTTCTTTGCAATTGGAAAATGAATCAAACACCATAGAGGATAGTATATTAACATCTGAAGATGACACCTACAATATGAGAGACAAGAAAACCTATGAAAAAGAGGTTGGTAAGAGAAAACATCTAATTCTAGACAGCACTAACGAGTTGGACGATTCTTCTATTCTGCATGCATCCAAAAATAATTCAGAAATAATAGACAACTCAAATTCATCTGATCAAGAGGAGGGTGCTGTTCAGAAAAGCCCTAAACGGTCCTCCATTCGAAATAGAAGAAATATATCTGTTGGGAATCAAAATGAACATGATTCTAATAGTGAATGTGAGGAGAGTTTTATTAAACCACGAGTAAAAAAAAATCGTATCATTTCATCTGATTCATCTGATACAGATTTAGTCACTCCCCGACCAAACAGAAGTAAACCTAGAAAATCTTCCAATCAAAGCTCTGATTCATCAGATGATGACAAAACGGTTGATTTAGAATTTGGCAAGCCTTCCAATGAAAGTGCCCTCATGAATAAATATTCAAAACGTCATAATAACAGTATTAAGTCCACAAATGAAGATTCAAGTTATAGAAGAAGAAGCAGGACTAGTACAAGTTCAAATTCTGATGCGTCAAATATTTCTAGAAATAAAGATGAGTCCGAAGCAGTTTCACTGGATAAAATCCAGAATATATCTGATAGTGATAAAACGGTGGATTTAGGAATTGCTATACCTGCCTTGAACAAGTATGTCCCACAAGATACAAATTTCGAACAGTGCAATAGCAAGTTAAAATCCCCTGACAAAAGTTCAGATTTTAGACAAAAACATCCAATCTCTCATCTCAGTTCTGATGGGGTAAATATTTACAATCATACAAAAACGGGTTACAGAAGTTCTATAGACAAAACAAATATTGATGAAGAAGTTGCTAATATATCTTTGGAGCTGAGCAAATCCAAAATAAGTGAGAGGCAATTTGATTCAATAAATATAGGCGAGTCTGACTTATCTGAAACAGAACAACCCTTGAATGTAGGGACGCCAGCACTGAGGCTCACAGAAGAATTTCATTTTGGTAAGAATAGAAAGTTTATGCACAGTACAATAATTGAACCTCAAGACACCCCTGTAAATAAAAATACTGGTAAACGCCTACTAAACAAATCTATTGACACTCCTAGATCAATAAAACAAATAAAAGAGTCAGACACACCTAGAAATGTTCCACAAATTTTTTTAAGCTCCTCTAGTTCAGATGAAGAGACTCGTGAAAGTGATGATGATATTATTGATGTAAGTAGTGATGAGGAAGTGCTTCCAAAAACTCTGGTCCGAAGTAAATTGAAACAAACAAAGCTGGATGATTTGATTTTGAAGGACAAAACACCAATGACAGTGAAGTCCAAGAAAGAAGATACCTTGTCAGTTATAGAGGTAAGATCGAACTTTAACTGAATTCTACTGGAATTTTATATCATGCACCGTAGCTATATATAAGAAATTTCTTGAGAATTTTCTCATAACTTTTGCTGAATTGACAAAATCGAAAACAGTTGCCTGTCTGGAGGCTCAAAAAAAATATATACGAATATATATATATGTTTAAAATATGTTTTTCCATTAACCAGCTGTCCATTAACTTGTGCGAGCTAAGGACTAACAAGGTAACATAAATGCAGTAGCTCGTCGTTTAGATTTCACTTGAATTGATAATTTTCAAAAGTGATACATAGGAACAGTTCACAATATTTTTGAGTTCTTCTGGGATAGTGAATTTGTAAAGTTTCAAAAATAATTATTACAAATTTTTAGTTGGATACCTTATATAGAATAATGGTTGATTAGTTAGAAATGTCAATTGTATTGTGTGTAAATAAAGTTTTTCATTTGATCTTCATTGCATTTATAAAATAAAAAACTGTACAATTGAACATAACACACTTCATATACTGCAGAAATAGTGCGGAATATACCGATTTGGATTTCAATGAGTCTCGAACTTAAACAGTGTATCCTGTTTTGTCTGCAAAAGTGTTCTGTTTCATAAGACGATTGTTATGAATATTGTTAACGTCCCAATGCGAATTTCTGTACAATCCAGAATGTTCTTCAATCAGAAATATTTGAAAACATGAAGTCTTTTCGTACACGAAAATGTTCTTCCGTCATTTTGAAATAAAAAGTAGGAAGCAAGGATACAAACATTTTAAACCTTCCAGTACTCATGCTCAATTGCTCAACATTACAACTAGCACACAAACTCACAGACTTTTTCCTAAATAGGGTTATTTTATATGTTAATTGTAAAACTAGGTAGTGACATGTAAATTGCATCACGATAGTCATGCAGTTAATATAAAGGTAGGTTTGTAGTCTGCAAATTGGTGACCATCCTATATACATGATATTAGGTGACTTTGAAGTGGGCATGCACAATTGCAATTATTTCGAAGTATCTTGTAAGTCTTCTGATGAAATTTCTTATAACTCCAGAGGTCAGGAACAAAATTTACAAACGGCGGCCAGAAGATCCAAAACCACAAACGGTTTCAAAAGATCACCTTCAAATTTTGAGAAGTAGTGTTAGAAAATGATGGTTTTATTACACAAAATGCCAAATAAAATGTATCTGAATTTTCAAACAAGTCCCAAGCAAAAATATCCATAGGCATGTAATGGTCATTTTACTCTTTAATTCAACTTATAATAATCCTTTGTTAATTATTATCTGTCAATGTGTTAAGAATCGCAAGTTGACAGGTAATACCTCATTAATTCTTATCTCGCCCAACTTTCGGCATCTGAAGGTTGTAGTTCGTAAGGGGGCAACAGCTGGTTAACGGAAAACAATTTAACAGGTTGTTCTTTTTGAAACCTTTGAATGTTTTGCTATACAATAGCTTTATCAAGTGTTAAGGTTGAGAAATGTATTAACGAGTTTCAATATGGATTTTCATCAAGTATCGGCCAGTTCTATTCAAAAATATACTATCAAATAAATGGCTATGAAAAATGTCAAAAATGTTGCAAGACATGTCTAAATGTTTTTTCCACTTCTTGGTTTTGTTTTTTCCAGCAAATAAATTACAAATCATTTATGTCACATTTTTCTAATCTTTTCTATCAAGTTATGGACTTATACTGGCAGTCATTTAATGAAAAACCTTTTATGACTTTATAATTACCTTTTAATATTGAGCAGTATGACCAGTACGCCAAATAATGATGTATGATTTGTTTGTCATTTGTTGAAACTTCTGATACCTAACTCCGGTCATTTAAAAAAAAACTAGTCATTGAATACATTTCAACCAATGAGTTGGGATTATTAGGAATGTTGAGATGTAGCGAACATTTTACAACTTTTGTTATTACTCACTTATTGATTGATTATTATGTATTGATATTATAGGTTACACCAGCCGAATACAATCAGCAAAATCAGAAAGTAAAGGGAATTGAGACCGATTTACTGAAAAGTAAAAACTTGATGAGAGTGGTCAAACTAGAACATCTTCCAGATAAAGGTAAATCAATACTGCTCAGGCATGAATCGTTGGAAACACAGTTATTGGAAGCAGTGAAAAAATTGTCAATGATGAAGGTTACAAAAGAAAACCCTTCAATCAGCAATTTCGCTAATACCAACCCTCAAAGTAAGGTGAAGGTACTATCTTGGGAAGAAATAGAAAATAAAGCAGGCATTGTCCAACCAAAGACATTCGGGAAACAGGCCATGTCAACATACAATGCACAAAAAGCAGTCACTATGGACAGGTTACATCAGCTGCATGGATCGTTGAAAACATGTCCAACAGAAGATGATCTCACTGAAGATCCGAAAGGTTTGAAAGTTGATTTGATGCCACATCAAAAAAGAGCATTGACATGGCTGATGTGGAGGGAAATGCAAAAACCCTCTGGAGGCATACTAGCAGATGACATGGGTCTCGGAAAAACTCTGACAATGATATCCTTGATGCTGAAAACGAATGAAATTGAGAAGGACACTGAAGAAAGCTCTGACGAGGAAAATTCACCAGGAAAAGAGCCAAAATATAATGGAGGAACACTAGTAGTATGTCCTGCAACTTTAATAAACCAGTGGTCGGGAGAGTTGGAAAGACGAACGAAGAGAGGTTTGACTTCATGCGAAATGTATCACGGTCCTAAACGGGAAACTAAACCAAAAAAACTTGCTAAACACGATATGGTTATAACAACCTATGCGATAGTCAACAATGAATGTGATAAAAACGGTGCCATATTCAGAGTGAAGTGGAGGAGAATTGTGATTGACGAAGCACACCAGATAAGAAACCACAAATCTCAGACCTCAGAAGCTGTATGCAGGCTTTCTGCAAAGTCCCGATGGGCGTTGACTGGTACACCTGTTCACAACAAAGAACTCGATATGTATGCTTTGCTGAAATTTATACGCTGTACCCCATTTGACGATTTGGCAGTATGGAAAAGGTGGGTTGGAGATAAGAGTACAGGAGGTACAGAGAGGCTTCATACTGTGATATCATCCCTAATGTTGCGAAGAACCAAAATAGAGCTAATAGAAAAAGGTTTCCTGAATGCCATGCCTGAAAGAAAGTGGGAGTTGGTACCGGTGGAGCTAAACAAAATGGAAAGAGATGTTTACAGCAAAATTTTGATATTTTCTCGTACGCTCTTTGCACAATTTTTGCATCAAAGGGCAGAAAAAAATCAAGACGCTTTCCTCGCTCAATATGACAATTTTAATCAACAACCCAATGGACAGAACAAAGAGTATGTGAAGATGAGGGAGAAATTATTGAAGCTCAATAAACTCAAGGATATCAAACAGCATGAGATCCTAGTTCTGCTGCTCAGATTGAGGCAAATTTGTTGCCATGCGTCTCTGATAACTAGTATGTTGAATGAAGATATGGACATTCTGGGAGAAGATGATGGTGGCGACAAGGGAGAAGCTCTAGACCTTCTCGAGCAACTTAATAAACTAACAATTGATGGAGATGAATACCACCCTAACTCCATGGCAGAAGGTAATTTTATTTTTTCAATAGAGAGATAATAACATAAAAAATTTATAATCATCTATAAAAAATTAAAATCTTTTCTCACAAACATGTACATATTATCAGAATCAGAATATGTTCATTTCATTAAAGAATATTTGTGGTGACAAAATCTGTTCAACTAAAAAATATATAGAATATAATGAAAAAGGTAAAGAATGAGAAGAATTGTAAAAAAAATTGTGGTTGAAAATTAATGCAAAATTTTGTAGTGACAGCATCGAAAAGTGCAACTTTTTAGGTAATACGCAGATTTCTTTTCCTGCTGTTGACACAGTATAAGATCACCTTTATGAAATAGAGAATGTCAAATACATTGAAACAAAACGAACAGATAATATTACAAATAAATCTTACGATTCATAGAGTGAGTTGACGTAAAATTCATTTCAAATCAAATTCAGAATATAATATTTTATTTGAAAATATAAAAATCTTATGGACAAAATATAACCGTACGAGGCAATAGTGGTACGAGCAGCAAAGGGTTGACCATGTTCTCGGACCTTATGACATTAAATAACATGTTGACATAAACTTCGGCGGAGAGTGGAGAATGAAATGTCATCCTGAGAACATGCTCGGCAGAAATACCTGGACAGACTGATCGAAGCCGATAATGGATTAAGAGATGGAATTTACTGTGCGGATAGAAATCTTGCAATGCATGAAATGAGCAAATCAATATTTCGACAGAAAGCCAGGCTGCACTTATGGCACTGATAACCCCAAATTGAAATGGAGACTGGTCTGCAAATACCTTGAATTACTGAAGAAACATTCGGACAGGAATAGATTGACTATATACTGGGTACCAGGACACTCAGGCATTACAGGCAACGAAAGAGCTGATGAGTGTGCCAGACACAGATCATCAACTCCATATATGGGCCCAGAACCAGCTGTGGGGGTACCAAAGGTTTTGGTACGGACCCAGATCAGTAATCAGGTCTATAAGAAACAGAGAGTAATGAGAAAACATACCAAAGAATACTCATGGGAAAACCTTTCTTAAGGGACCGCCCGATAAGAGAACTGAATAACTGCTTCATCAAAGCAGGGATCTGCTCGGAGCAATTAAAGGGCTACTCACTGAACACTATTCATTGAACAGACATCTGAATAACATAGGGCTGTTCAAAGGAGACCTCATATGTGCAGGCAATGCAACGTCATATTTCATGTGAATGTGAGGCATTGAATCACAGGAGGCAAATGATTTATGAAAAACCTCAATTATGTCCAGAAGATTCTGACATGCATACAGCAAGGGACTTGTACAAACTAGTACAGGACACAAGAAAAAGATGGCAAAGAAAAAAAATTCCATAAGGCTGCAGCGACTTGGGAGAAAGACAAGTCAGAAAAAAAAGTGTAAACGCATTATATGTCGTTATATGAGTATACTATGATTCACATCATATTGGGTCAAGACTATAAGAATAACACTAAATATAACTGATCTACTATATTATAGTGCAAATAAATCACACAACATATTGATAACTCAGTATAGTTTTCAGAATTAAATTATTCATGGGATAAATCCATGATAATGAAAGTCATATACAAGTAAATATTGACTAATACAGGGTGTAACAAAAAGGTAGGTGGGGTCAAAAATAAGTCGATTGGATATAACCTACTTTAATGCAAATGTGCACATAGAAAAGTTACAGCCCTTGAAAAGTACAAAATGAAAATCGATTTTTTTCCCAATATTTCATGAGCTGTTCAATATTTTGCAATGAAAATGGATGGCTTTCTTATCGTAAGAGCATAATTTTCAAATAAAATTACTAATTATGTTCAACCCATAAAATTTTTAGGGGGGTATTGAACTCCTGAAACCCCTCCTAAACTTTTCTATGTGTTACAATCAATATTGTGACACCATTGGTTTAATTCATAATTTTTATTTTTTTTTTTCCCCGTAGAACTTTTTCAAAAAGCCAGTTTTTATTAAGATACGGCAAAAGTTTCTAGTAACAATATGAGTTTCAATGTTTTTTTGTCTCCTAGCACTTTTTTGAAAAGGCAGTCATACTGTCAGTTGAAGCTTTCGATTATTGTACATTTTAAGAGTGTTGAGAAAAATTGAACTTTCTATTACAATGGTTTATACGTTTGCAGAAATGGCAGATATCCATTTAATTCTGGGTAATTTAGTCTGGCTAAAACAAGGTTTCAGATAATTATCTGTAATGCTGGTAATCACAGGTGAATGCCAAAGGAATGGTGCAGCAGCTGCAAAGCGATACGCGGAAAAAATATTCCACTCAGAATACACCAAACAAACAATTATTTCTTTCCTTTGATCGTCATTTATGAAAGACGGGTACTTTGCGACCGCAAGTTACTAGTATTAGTGGTCATCCAAAAATGGATACAAACGATGAGGATATTTTAGAATTTGTCAAAAAAACCCTGAAAGCAATATAAAAGTAATGTTATAGCTGCTCAATTATATGTTGATCACATAATGGTTTGGAGAAGATTGAAAGAACAGCAGCTTCATCCCTATCACTTAAAAACTGTTCAAAAATTAATGGATGAGGATTATCCCAAAAGAATGGAAATTTGCGACTTGTTCCTAATGAAAAACAATCGAAATATCAATTTCCTAAATCATATTTTATTGACGATTGAAGCTACCTTCAATAGAAATGGCATTACAAATCACTATAACCCACACATATGGGCCGAAGAAAACCCTCACGCAAAAAAACGACTCATCGCCAGAAGACTTTTGAAGTAAGTGTTTGGTCAGGTTATGTGAATAATAATTTAGTAGGATCAGTATTTCGTCTTCCAAATAATTTAAATGGTGCAAATTACTTACAGTTCTTACAAAATGATTCACCAGAATACTTGGAAGAGGTAAATTAGGAACAAGGCAAAATATGTGGTATTTACAAGATGGAGGTCCAGCGCATTTCGATAACGATGTTAGGGAATATTTTTTGGCCTGTACCCTGAACGTTGGATTGGAAGGGGCCTTGATGCATCTATTTCTTAGCCAGCCGGAAGTCGAGATCTCAACCCTATTGGCTTTTGCTTATGGAATTTTATGAAAGAGCACGTGTATACACAGCTCCCTTACTGAATTTAATAAATGTCTTGTAAAGACAGTGAAAATACAAGAAATATATATAACAGTGTCATGATTAATACTGCCCCCAATAAAGTAAAGGAGAGCTGGATTATTATAAATGATATCTGTGGAAAAAGCAAAAATCAAATTGATAAAATCAATCTGAAACCTGACCGTATCAACGACTACTATTGCCCTATCACAACTAAACTTACTTATGACTTTCCATTACTATTCGTATTAATCCAATGCAATATCTTGAGAATGTAAGAATTGACGAAAACTTCTTTCTATTTCCAACAGACCCAGATGAAATAAAGAGCACTATGAAGGACATTAAGAACAAAAAGGCATCTGGAGCGGGTGGTTTTTTATAAGTATGCCGGAAAAATTGCCTCCGGCAGCTATTGACGCGCTTACTAATATAATAAATGAATCTTTTGTCTCGGGAACTTAAATCAGCCATGGTGATCCCAATTTACAAAGGAGGGGATAGGGAGGATCCACCAAATTATAGACCGATCTTCCTCCTATCTACTACTGCGAAAATCGTTGAAAAATTAATAAAGAAGCGACTCATGTCATTTGTCGATAAACAATACTAAACATAATAAATGGTAACCAATACGGTTTCCAAACCAACAAAAGTAAAAATGATGCTATCTATAAATTTTCAGATAACGTGTACACTAATCTTAATAATGAAGAAGTGACTGCGGCGGTGTTCTGTGACTTATCCAAAGCTCTTGATTATGTAAATCATAGAATACTGCTGCAGAAGCTTGAGTACTATGGCATCAGAGGCATATCTAATAAATGGATGACATATTACTTGAAAAACCGGGAACAATATGTGAAAGTTTCTACAAAAGAGAGCACTGAGATACATAATTCATGTTGATCATCAAACTTCATATAAACCCTAATTCATATATCAGAAGATACTTACGCTAACGTTAAGAGTAATATGAAAGTCGAGGCACTTTGTAATAAAATAGGCTCCAAAGAGTAAACTTGCTTTTTATGTAAAAAGGCAATGTGACTAGAAGTCACAAAGAGCAGAAACAGCAATAAATACCGTTGAAAATGGTGAATTGAACGAAAAAATAGGTATTTGAAAAGCAATTAGGATTTATAGTTGATGTTCATAAAGCTCGATTTAGAAACACTAATGACGATAATACGAGCAGATTTTTTCCTGGGCTAGCAATTATTAATTGAAAATGTTGGATTGAAAGGGATAAATGTATACTACAAACAAAATTAGGTATACAAGATACAGTTTTCAGAGACTTATTTTAATGAAGTTAATAAACATCAAAATAAAATGTTTCACTGAATGTTTTCATTCAAATAAGTTACAGCACATTAGAAACACAAAAAAGTATATTTCTTTCAGATTTCGTAAGAAACAAATAATTTTTATAGAAAAAAAAACCAAAACGGAAACGACGGTTTTAACGATTTTTTTTAAATTTTAGTGGATAAATATATACAATAGTTGTAGAGATCTTTATATTTTCTATAACTTCCATATTTGGATTTTTTCAGTAGGGGGTCTAGTTTCAGTGGAAATGATGAAAAACCATTTTTCGCCACTAACATTTGCCCAATTTCATCCCCCGTAATTTGGATTGATTTCAAAAATAATCATTACAGGTATTGGAGAAGAAGCTCTCGGCCTGAAGGAAGCTGCAAGAGGAGTTCTCAATCCATCGGATCCAGTCTTTTCTGAAACCAGTATGAGCAGCAAAATAAGAGAACTCATCAAAGTATTGCGAAAAAATGTGTTAGTGAAGAACGATAAGGCAATCATTGTATCGCAGTGGTCTTCCTTCCTTCGACTGATCTCCTACCACTTAAAGGCGGAAAAAATAACCTTTGATCAGTTAGACGGAAACGTACCTGTCCCCAAAAGAATGACCATGGTCGATAGATTCAACAATCCCAAAGATGAAATGAAAGTGTTGCTATTGTCGCTTACAGCTGGTGGTGTCGGACTCAACTTGATTGGAGCCAATCATCTGTTCCTTCTCGATCTACATTGGAACCCCCAACTGGAAAATCAAGCGCAGGATAGGATATATCGAATGGGGCAGAAAAAAGACGTGTTTGTGTATAAGTTCATGGCCACCGATACGATTGAGAAGAGAATTTTGGACTTGCAAGAGAAAAAGTTGGAAATCGCCCAGTCTATGCTGACAGGAACCAAACAGGCTATCACAAGCAAGCTATCATTGCAGGATCTCAAAATGCTTTTCGAAATGTAAATAATTTTAATGAATTAGAAAAACCAATTGGGGTTGTTCCCATCTATTCCTATTAATACTTGTTTTCTTCGATAATTTTAAGGGTTTTCTTGAGTATCACCAACAACAATTTACATTCAATAATCACAAAAATACATGTTAATTTCATTAAAACAATAATTAGTTCATAGTCAAATAATCGTAATATAAATAACATGTCGAAACAACACTTATATAAAAACAAACATTGTTTTTTCAATTGAAAATTTATCAATATTGTCCTTTTTATTTTATTTATTTCTATCATGATTTTAGCATTAAATAGAGGATTCATTTTTAGTTGGCGTCTATTAAGATGTGCATAGTTAAGAATTGCCAATCGAATTTTTGTTATTACTTTCATCGGATATTGAACAAATTTGAACTGAAAATTTTCTACTTTTTCCTAAATGCTAAAATTTGAGCATTCGACTTCAAGTAGTTCATATTCTTTATTTCTTCTGGATTTCACTGAAAACGTACTATAAGGGTTAGTAGGAGTAGATATGTTGACACTATAGTTTTTTTAATTTTACCCATGTTTTATTAAATAATGATACGAAAGCTGGTTTTTATTTTCAATCACCCTTTGTTTCCAGAACGTCTTCAAAAGTACTAGGTATATTTGCTCTAATACATAGATTGAAATATTGAAGGATTTATGATGAAATAAATTTCGGGTTGAACCGCGTCTTGTGTTTTTGGTAGTTCGACGTTTCGGCTTCGACTTGAAAGCCATTTTCAAGAAACTCACTATATATTGAGGTCTCAATCTGCCTACTCCTCAAGTAGTAATATGCTGCAATGGTTATCTGACTTAACGCCCTAGTCTCAATCTACCTACTCCCAAGCATCGACTGTTGATTCACTGGTTCTGGTCGGTTCAGTGGCATAAAAAGAATGTTGCGAAACTGTTTTGAAAACAGATGGATTGTTACAAATGGTCCTGTTAAGTGGCCTCCTCGTTCACCAGACATGACGCCTCTAGATTTTCATTTTTGGGGATTTCTCAAAAATGAGGTGTAAAAAATAAAACAATAATGTAGATGCACTGAAAAATTACATCGAAACTATAATTAATAGAATTGATGGCCGAATTGTGTTGAAAGCAACACGTAGTGTCAACAGAAGGGCCTAACAAGAAGGTGGTGTTTTTGAATATTTACTCGATATTTTATAGCTCATTATTCGCCAAAATAAATAAATTTTTGTACTAGTGAAATAAATAAATATATCAACATAAGTCGCTCATTTTCAACTTTAGGAAGAAAGATGATATGAGCTTTTTTGTTGAAAATGTTTTGCGAATCGAAATGCATGATGAAATATAGGGGATTTACTGCCCATTTAACCGAATACGTAGCATCAATAATAACGAATTTGGCAATGGTGCCGACTTAATTTGTCTATTAGGATAAAATTCAGACCTCTAACCACGCTAGGAGGTAAAGATATACAGACATATGACACCAAAGGATGAAGACTTTGGAACGTAACATTACGTAATACTGTCAGTTCTTAATTTTGTACCTCTGTGTCTGAGGTTCAAGGCTAGTGCTGTCAATGTTGTCTGTTGTCATCGTGTTTATTCTGTACTGTATTCTGTCAATAGTGTCAATGTCGAATAGCAGGAAATTTTGTTGAAGAAAAAATAAGAAAAAGGCCGTTTTAAAGATGTCGGAATCGAAGCAAAGTAGACAATTTGTGAAAAAAGAATCTTCTACCGAAGGTATTTGAGAAATTAGGATAATACAGTGTTTCTTTGTTAGTTTTAATATATTTCCATTAACCTCTTTTCTTTTTCTCACTTCATTGTGGTCAAGGATTGAAGTAGCAAAATTACGTCGATCCTATCAAAATTCATGATAATTATTCCGGATTAACAGTAGTTCTGTCAGCATTTTGAACAGTTCAAATTCCAATATCACTCATTGAATTGTTTCATTAACCTTTCATTTGTCAGCTGGACATAATGTAGACTTAAGAATGTCAAATATAAAAGATGAAATTTCTGTTGTAGAAGAAGATTATGAGGACACAATGAACAAACCACATGCCGTACCCATAGTGGTTGCAGATGTAGATCATTCATTCAAATTGGATGAGGAAGCTCTTAGAAAGGTTTTGATGAGAGACGAGTTGAAGGATCGCTATGTTGTAGTAATATCCGTAGCTGGTGCTTTTCGCCATGGAAAATCATTTCTGCTCGACTTCTTTTTAAGATACATGAGCGCTAAGGTATTATGTTTTATCTAAAATAATCATAGATTCATACTTTTCATGTGTAACCAGCTTCAGTATGTTCGCAAAGAAATTTCGTGTCAGAAAATGCTTCTGACTCTGCTAATATCATATACAAATGATATAATAAATGACATTTATTGGTGAATACCAAAGGGCCATCGACCAAAGTCCTTCAGCCAGTGTACAATTTTTAAATATTTACAGTGATTTTTACATATGCTTACATAATAGAATTGAGATACATTAGATTTGTAAAAAAAGAGTCCATAATGAATTATGAGAGTAATTTGATGTTTTCCCAAATAATTTTTTCAGTATTATATTCGACAGAAATTTTTGTGAGAGCCCTCACAGGGAAAATTTGTGCAGATGCTTCCCATTCAATGGAGTATACAACTAAACTGCTCTCTTGATTATATATGTCTTGCACTGATGAGGAAAAATATTTTGAAATCGGTCTGTTGGGATCACTCTATTTTCAGTAAGATCCGCTGCTGAACGAATGAGAAGCAGAAGATTTCTTTGCGAGATATAATCAAATGTACATTGTGGTATTTACCAAGGAAGTAGTTCAGTAGTTGTTTTTCAGCAAGTATTTGCCATATCCTATTATGTAGAAACATTGTTTAAGCAGATGATGATATGTAGTTTTTTTCTTATGATTGATAACTTTATTATTATTATCACAATACAATGTAGTCATAATCATATTTTTTTGTTATGATACCAATCAAAGCATGTAAACAAGAGAAGATCCAGATCAATATATATTTGAAGGATAGTTAAATTCAAGTAACAAACGTGTCCATTGCAGCAATAGGTAATGGTATTAAACAAAACATATATGAACAGTAAATACCGCATAATATATGATCAATGATTAGTTGAGTAAGTCAATTGTTAATATTATATTAATCTATAGTGTAGAAATTTCTATCAATAAGATTGCAATCGTAATTTGAAAATTGAAATGAAAATTCATATCAAGCTTTGACAGAGAGAAGAACAATGAACAACTCAGTTGGAATAATATTGTGCTTGTAGATATTGAGATAAGGAGCATTTGAAGAGTTGGAGGGTGTTACTTTGTTTAATTTAATTGAGAAGCTTGTCCAAGAGTCCTCTGTAAAATATAGAGTTCATTGTTCTTGCAAAGTTTGTTCGTAGGACAACCAAGTCATCTCTTCTTCTTGTATCGTAATTGTGAATCCCAAAAAAACTTTGGTAATTATTCTAATAGCATAGTCTTTTTTTATACTATAACTTCGTTTCATTCTATAACTGGTCATTCCCAGGTAAACTTATTACTTGTATTTTGAATTTGAACTTACTATAACTCTTTCCTTCAGTATATTCTGAAACAAAATACGTCAGAGTGGATTGGATCAGAAGATGCTCCTTTGGAAGGATTTTCTTGGAAAGGGGGATCTGAGAGAGATACTACTGGTATTCTTATGTGGTCAGAAGTGTTTGTAACTGAACTTATCACTGGTGAAAAGGTAAGCAAAATAATCATGGTATAATCTATTTTTCAACATATTGAAGTGAAGGACTAGATTTTATATATGTGATGAAATTGGCTAATATTTGATGAAAATCGGTAATGTATTGAAGTAACCCTATGATGTGAAATTTTCACTAAATATTTTACTAAACCGCCATACATGTTTCAATATAATAATAGCTTCTTCAGGCATATCCATATTAACTAAGTTCAACCTACTTGGCGCCTTATATAAATCAATATTTTGAATTCTATATCTTTTTATACCTACTATATAGAAGGATAACTTTTCCTGAGTTTACACATAAATTAATTACCAATTGAAACTTTAGGAAACCAATTTAACAAACAAACTCATTTGAATGGAAATGTAATTAAAAAAATTTATCTGAATTTAAGTATCAACTAATGACAAATTTCAACATAAGAAAACAAATTTAATAAAGGGGAAGTATTAAATTTTATTTGATCATTCAGCAAATCGTCTGAATTCTTCAATATATTGATTTCCAATCATTTCAAAAAATTGACTTTTAAACCTTTCCCTTCCAAATTTCACATCATAGCCGTTATTGAACTCATATCCTCTACCAAGAGATGGTTGTCAAATGTGGAATTGGTCTTCACATTCAAGAAACTACTCCCAGCTCATTTATTTTTTGGAGAAACATTATCTCTGTTTGGCAAATATAAAGTTGTGAGCAAGAACTACAAGTTTACTTGTATACTCCTAATCTCTCTGACACTGAAGTTGTCTTTATTGTTTTCAAAAGATCTACCTAATTATTATTCGTTCTGTATGCCACATCCAAGTCTGGACGGGTTCAATGAAGACAATAAAAACAAAACTTCAGTGTCGGATAAATCAGGAGTACATATGGTTGTGGAGAACCTTTTTCCGTAGAATAAATGAACATAGGAGTAGTTTCGGAAAAGAGAAGACCAATTCCACCATCTTTTAGCAGAGGTACATGAATTGAATCTCGACTATGATGTGTTACATTTGGAAGATGAATGTTTGAAACTCAATATTTTTTAATGCTTGGAAGCATTCCTATTTTAAACATTCTCTATCGCATATATCTACGAAGTTATGGGGCGATTTCTACTCATAACCTGAGTGTTTGTTCAAACCTTTTTTTTACAATTGTTTGAATAACTCACACATTTCCCCAGATAATATTTCTTAATGTTCAGAGAGTTTTTTTTTCCTTTGAGGTCGACTATTCTTTTCAAAGTAATTAATTTTTTAAGATTATTTTCTTGAAATCATTGAAAATACATTAGTCAGAAGTTGTGGCCACTTAATTGAATAATTAAAAGCAATTAAGCGATTGATTGAATAAACAATTTTCAAGTGTGTTTTGAAATTAGAACTGATTTAGCTTGGGTCAAGTCTTTGTCAGCAGATTAAAAATAATGTTGATAGTTTTACAATGCCTCCAATGGTATATGGTATAAATATATGTGCATATTATGTTGATATTTGTGTTTATTTTTTCCACTTCATGCCTCATAATCAAAACAAATCAAGTTTATGTTTTGTTTACCATCAGTTGAGATAGGTAGTGTCAAATGAGATGAAATGATTAGTAAACAGTTGAGATAGGTAGTGTCAGTTGAGATAGGTAGTGTCAAATGAGATGAAATGATTAGTAAACAAGTCTTGTTGTTTCAATGTAATTATAATTTACTCATTTTAATGCTTAGGTCTGTGGATTAATTAAAAGGTTAAAGTTGTGTTTTGAATAATAATCAGTGATGAAATGCAAATTCATTTGCACTTGCATACTCGTTAGTCCTTAGCTCGCACAAGTTTCAACTTCTGAGAGTTGTCGTTAGTAGGGGGGCAATAGCTGGTTAACGAAAAAACAGATGTTTTTCAAACAGAAATAGTAATGAGCTGAAAAGAGGCAAAAACTTAATTTTCACAAAAAAATAACTCACACAATGTATAGAGTATAAAGTAGAAAAAATATTTATTGAGATATGGAGCTACAAAAACACATGACATTAAAACGGACAAAACTTTTGAAACAACCTTATAATAAATTGTTTCGTAATTTGTTATTAACGTGAAAGAAAATGATAGTGATTCAGAAAATGATGAAACTGACTCAGTAAAGAAAAATGTGTCTAGAATAGAGAAATGGAATGAAGATCATGAGGATCAAACCTTGACTGTTGAAAATAATGAAACCTATATTAGTTTGTAAATTTTATATAGTGACATGTCAGATACAATTGATCACCACATATTACTAAATAAACTGCAAAGTATTGGTATCAGGGAAACTGTTTTGTTAGGCTGACTGATTATTTATCACAAAAAGTATCGGCCGATTTCATCATAAACTTATTTTTCAGACTCTCTAAACCTATTGAAACATGCATTAAGTTTCTGTTCAAAGTTAATTTCGAGTTAAATTTAAAAAAAAAATACTATTGCTGCTTGATAAAACTTGGTATAGTATTCCTGAAAACCCAAATCAACTTATTGTGAGTATATTTTTCATGCTGTAGTTGTTATTTATTCCACAGGTTGCAGTGATACTGCTGGACACCCAAGGAACCTGGGACAGCAAAAGTACGGTGAAAGAATGTGCCACAATTTTTGCTCTCAGCACAATGTTGAGCTCAGTACAAATTTACAATTTGTCAAGTAATATACAAGAAGACGATTTACAGCATTTACAGGTTAGTGTATATCAGACATTATCATGCACTCATAGCCATAACAATAATAGAGAAATCCATTTTTTTAACAGACAGATATATCTCCACTAACCAGTGTTTTATTGAAAATTTCAAATTATATTTACATATTCTGTTTCATACACATATCATTAAGTTAGTATTAACCCTATTGAAAAAACAAGAGCCTTTTCTAGTCAGTAGGTGGGGGATAGTCCATTTGGCCATTGAAGAAGCCTGGTTTCTAGGTTCCTGTAATGATTCAGTCATATACCCTTAAACTTTTTGAAAAATACATGAATCAAATATAAATTCAAATTACCATTCTATAACCACACCAACAATTTAAATGTCATAATGAATTACCAAATGTTTTGAAAACAATGTGTCCTTGAAAGTCAGTTTAACTTAATTCAAAACATATTGATTCAGTCATTGTTTTCTTTCTCCTCATTTATTGGTAGTATTTATTTAGGTGCAATATACAGTGTACGGCACCAAAAATGAAACATCTAATTTTCTCAAACAAATTGTTTAGAAAAAATGTGAAAACAGGTCGAGTTTTAATTCAAGGGCGACATTTTTCTATCATAACTTCCACTGCCATACCGCCTCCCCCGCCCCTTGGTGACTACCATCTGTACAATTTGAATAGGGAAAGTACTAAGTGTGACACATCATTAATGATGTGTCACACTTAATTTAATAATGAAGTAATAATTCATGTGACTGTTCAGCTCATAAATCTTCATTTTGATGCTTTCTTGTGGGAAAACAACTGTTTCGTATTTCAAATTATGATACTTCATTTTAAAGATGATGTGAACAAGTTATAAAAAAGAAAGGTAGAACTGGAACATCTGGTGTAGAATAAATCCAAAACAAGCACAGTTCATTATCTTAAGAAACCAACCTGATTGGTGAAACGCATCGAGAAGAGTGTTGCAGTTTGTTTTTGTAAACAGTGCTTGTTATAGGTGCAAGTCATAATAAGATAAGAAAAATTGAAAAAAGCTCGTTCTATGAAATTAAACAATAAAAAACCGTGAATAATTTCAAACTACATTAATTCACAGTAGATCAAATCAATTCAAATTTATTTTCATGATAATATACAATTTGTTGTATGACTTAGTTATTATATTTCAATTCTTGAATGAGTAAGTTTCACCTAGGCTTTGGAATGCCTGTATTGTGTTATATTACTCATTCAAAAATGATGCTATCTATAAATTTTCAGATAACGTGTACACTAATCTTAATAATGAAGAAGTGACTGCGGCGGTGTTCTGTGACTTATCCAAAGCTTTTGATTATGGGAATCATGGAATACTGCTGCAGAAGCTTGAGTACTATGGTATCAGAGGCATATCTAATAAATGGATGACATATTACTTGAAAAACCGGGAACAATATGTGAAAGTTTCGGGTGCAGTATCTGAAGAACAAATGAGCAGTGGAGTTCCACAAGGCTCTATCTTGGGGCCTATATTATTTTTTGTTATATGTAAATGATCTCACTAACTTTGACATTGACAAAATACAACTAAATAATGACACACTCATGAAATCTGATAATTATAGATTATTAGGCATTATGTTGGACCATACTTCAAAGTTCGATGGGCATATTATGGCAATGGCAAAGAAATTGTCATCTGCTATCAGAGTCTTTCGTAATGACATCGGTCATCTTATTGCTACTTTGCTCTACTGGAATCTCACATCAGATATGGGATAGCATTTTGGGGAGCCTGCTCACTATCGTTGTTTTCAATGATCTTTAATCATGTTAACCATCAAACTTCATATAAACCCTACTTCATATATCAGAAGATACTTGCGCTAACGTTAAGAGTAATTTGAAAGTCGAGGCACTTTGTAATAAAGTAGGCTCCGAAGAGTAAACTTTTGCTTTTTATGTAAAAAGTCAATGTGACTAGAAGTCACAAAGGGTAGAAGCAGCAATAAATACCGTTGAAAATGGTGAATTGAACGAAAAAATAGGTATTTGAAAAGCAATTAGGATTTATAGTTGATGTTCATAAAGCTCGATTTAGAAACACTAATGACGATAATACGAGCAGATTTTTTCCTGGGCTAGCAATTATTAATTGAAAATGTTGGATTGAAAGGGATAAATGTATACTACAAATAAAATTAGGTATACAAGATACAGTTTTCAGAGACTTATTTTAATGTATGTTTAGTGTATTGGCACATGATATGTTTCTTCCCCATTTTTAGGGATTTGTTCACGAGACGGAGATGTTATCAGATAACAAATCTTTGTTTCAGACCAAGGTTTCATAAATACTGTTGAAAATTATCCCTTTGTATACAGAATCATTCAGAAGCAGAATGTCATTCAGAAGCAGAATGTCATTCAGAAGCAAGTCTGAGGACATCCATGTAGAGCGACTGAATCCTTACATGGGTCATGATGTTCCTACTCGGAATGTTGTTCGGAGCAAACAACCTCAAGAAAGGGGGTAGTGTTATAAATTATCCCCTGAACAAATATCGTCCTTTGTTTTATTCGAAAGACAGCGACTTGGTCAAGGTCGCACTCAGTCACACTTGTGTTTCTCGATCTTTCAAGGTGTCTCGTCATTTTGAGTCTGGTGCGCCTATAAAGCGATAAACCATTGAGCATTAGTCTGAAGTTTATTTAGAGTATTGTCAGTGTAGTTTAATGGGACAGTGTGATNAATACTTGTTTTCTTCGATAATTTTAAGGGTTTTCTTGAGTATCACCAACAAAAATTTACATTCAATAATCACAAAAATACATGTTAATTTCATTAAAACAATAATTAGTTCATAGTTCATAGTCAAATAATCAAAATATAAATAACATGTTGACACAACACTTATATAAAAATAGTGGTAAATAATGAAAAAACTATTGAAAAGTCAACCCTCCAGCACTTTCACCATTTCAGCTTATTATAAAAAATAAAACAGATACAGGATAATTCAAATGTTCAAAAAATTTATAAATCTCAACCATTTACATGTTAGGAAAACACTATAATTAATATTCATTCCTTGAAGATTAACATGGACAATTTTGAAGTTTCGATTTACCATGTCACATTTGTGGATTTGACTAGTATTTTGTCAGTGACTAGTAATATTGACCTTCAATATCTCAGTTGCATGTAGAGTTTGGACTTGTCATAGCATAAAGAAAAAGCCTAGAGATGTGATGTCACTTTATCCGGACTGTCAAATCAACTGGCAAGCAAGTTTAGTCGTTTTGCTGGAACCAAATGTTGTCGATACCATGGGTTTCAATTTCAAGCAATAAATAATCGGTTATTATGATGTAAACACATTCTTTCTAGAATGACGATTTTCCTAATATAGCTGAATAGCTTATAGATACTGTGCCGGAATGCCTTTACAGAATTAAATGGATACTGAACAAAAATACCATGTCAGTGTAACTCAAAGTATGTTTTATCTGTTATGAAATGTTCACTAATAAATGAATTATCGGTTAGGATCTAAAATATGGTTTTTCAAGTATATGAGGAATTCCTTTGGGTGTTTAACCAACCCAAGAGATTGGCATGCTCAAAGGACTTGTTTTTTCTCTCCGCGTGATTGGCTCATGATGGCGGGGTTATACTGAAAGTTAAAAAAAATATATAAACATGACAACAATTTCATTAAAGAAACAGAAACTAGTAAGAGGCACCTGACCCAATTAATATAGAGTCTTTATCGAAATCCCGTTCTAGTAATTAACCAGTCTGTAGAATATAAATTCCTATAGGAAAATGAAAAAACCAAAACCTCAC